TGTCCAACACCCATAATTCAAGTCCACAGGCGGTTTTGGGCTGCTGCTCCTGAGCTTCGTCCCCTTGTGCTATTTTTGTCGGCGGGGGATTTCAGTCCGGGATTAGGGCTGGTTGGTTGGTCCAGTTTTGACTCGCCACAGGAATTGAACCTTGAACAGGTTTATGCTTCCCATTTGCGGGGGAATGAGGCTTTGAAAACGGCGAAGGGAATCAAACCCCTCCAGACTCCCACAGCAGCTCCCTGATGGCCCCGTATGCAGAACTAGATCCAAACCTCTATACGGAGTAGACACCCGACAATGGCCAGGTCCATGTCCTCCACGCTCGATACGAGCCGGCCCACCAGTGCACATACCGCCAAGGAACCGAATGCTTGATTGGCCTCCGCACTTCGGCTGGTTTTCTTCTTGCCAGACACTGAGAGTGATGGCGACCAGGGCACTTCTGCTTCACACTTGCTTATCAACCGATCTGTGTTTTAAAGCGTTGCAGAGAATCCACACTAACAGGAATATTAAACCCTTCAATGATTTAGAGTAGCTGGTGCAGCTGATAGTCCTGAGTTGGAAGAAAAAGTAAACTGACCACAACTGCTAAAATACAAAGATACAAAGAAAGCAAAACTCATGAGCTTTTTGTATTGCAATGCACGAATCCTCCTCACAAGGTTTCGAACCACAGTTCACTAAGAACCACCAACATAAACAATACAAGTATACATGATATATCACAGAGGTAGATGCTAACCCACACCAGCCATCTTAGCAATCGATAGATTTCAAACTTGAATCACCGCGGTTGGCTCGGTGAGATATCAGAATTGAGACACCATCAACTTCAATAACATCAAATGTCGCATCATCTTCACTTCCACCAGCAGCAGATTCCTCGCCAGGAATATCGTATGTCATCTTTAGATGATCGTCGAAATGTTTTATAGTCGAGTTCGCAGTTTTCTGTGGCGTGGTATGGGGGAATGACTTAATTGCGTCAATTAGTAATCTGTAACTATACTGTCAAGAAATGCCACCACCTGATCACGGCGCATAATCCATGACAATGCCTCGGAATGCATCGCCTTTCCTGTCTCACGAAGCACAATAAATCGAAAGTCTATGAAATCGGTAAGAATGCCGAAGACAGCTGTGCTAGTCTTTTTTGCTTTCACTCGAGCATCTTGAACAGCAAATAAATAAGTCAATACCTGGGCCATGTTATCTACTTGGACAGAAAATTTGGCTTCAAGTACTATCAGCATTTGTTCCAATCTAGTTGTATCCTCCATGTAGCCTAGGGACCAATCTGCTCTGCCAGAGATTGTGCCACCACCATGCTCCTGCTTCACTGTTGCAGTCATAGGCACCTCATAGCCAACACACAATTTGTTGTTGGCGCCTAAATCATCCAGTTGATCCAGTCGATCCGCAAGTAGAATATCAAACAGTGTACAGGTGGATGCCTCACGTCGAAACCTTGACAATGCAGGAGAGTCGAGAATCTTCTCTATGGCAGTTGCTAGAATATAGTCAATAGAAAATTTTAGATCTTTTCACTGATTGATTCTTGACTCACCAGCCCAGCTAGACAGAGGCTTCTGAGCACTCTGCTTCAACTGATTCTCTGTCAAAGCCCACATATATTCTTGCTTGTATGCATTGAAATCAATGCCCAGCTTTTCCGTCACCTGTTGAAGTGTTAATTTTGAAGGCAGGTATGATGGCGTGAGGGTGGGACTTGGAATATGTGAAACAGCAGTTGCAACGAATTGAAGATATGGCAACACCATAGGTACTTGATCTTCTGAAAGACCATCTTATAGAATTGTGTCCAAGTTCCTAAAGAAATCCGGATATCTTGACATGGCTTCTGTTAGATCGTAATGGTCATGCGAGGCATGCGGCTTTTGTCTCTTCGCTGGCGGTGCCATTTTTGTTGCTGATTGCAAGGGTGGAATGGAGGCAACCCATTGAAGTCACAAGTGGGAGTTGTTTGCTGGAATCCAAGACGTGGCAGCATGCGCCGGCAAGCGCACTGCGTACATCAAAAACCTGCCTGTGCAGCCCCTTGACTTTCAATCCCACGTCTTTGTAGAATTTATTATTGTATTATTATTATTATTATTATTGTTATTATTATTATTTCTACGACGCTGAACCTTGAATATATACTATTTTTTACTATTTTATATTCTTTTTAAATTATGTTTTCTCTCTCTTTAGAATTACTATTGACTGATTTATAGTAATTTACTGAGTTTTTTAACGATAGCTGTATAATTGTGTTCCCAGATGCATCAATGAAAGTTTTGCCAGCGCTGTTAGTGTGTCTATTCGTCACTTCGGCCAAGGGCTTCTGAAGACATCTAGCGTATGAGTGGCGATAGAATTTTTGTGCCGTTAAACTCCGCGTGAGCTTTTCCTTCCTTCCCCGTCATTGTTTTCCTCTGCGCCTCGTTCGTTTTGGAGGGGCTGGATTTACTATGATCGCTTTCACCACCAGCTGCAATAGCACCCTTACTAACACCATCATCCTCAAACTTTACGCCAGCAATGAGCGTCTCACTAAGGAACTCTAGCCCAGCAACGAACGTGCAGAGCCCGCTCGCGATGCAGAAGTGACTAATTGTCGTGCCAATGTCAAGCCAGCTCCCCTCGTCGCGCACCATGTAGAAGAAATTAAGCGTCATTATGTCACTGATGGACATAACGATCATGAATAGAGCGGAAGGAGCGACACCTAGGCGCCGGTTGAGGATACCCAGGTTCGCACTGATGATGGCAAATGGGATAAGGATCTTTAGGATTAACAGCGCGCCTTGGAGGAAGGGGTCGAAGATAGGGACTAATCTGGTAACGCTTTCGAGGGAGAAAGAAGAGATTGAAGCGATGTTGCCCGTGGAGAAGAAGGCGGATTGGAGAAGGAAGAAGAAGAACAACGCAACACGGGCATCTCTGGTTGTTAGGATGCGATAACGGGGTTTTGATATGTGGTTTTCGCTGTTGGGTTGTAGAGGGCTTTGTTTCGTTTTGATTTGGGTGACATCATTTAATGGAACGATGGTGGTTGGTGGCTGGGATGAGGTGTGGATGAATATGCGGTGTTCAAGTTGAACCCAACTGAGTAGGGTAATACAAAAGACGAAGTAAAAGAGCCCCTCGTACGAAATGGTGAGAATGATGAACGTTGGAGAGAAGGTGAGAAAGATCACTACAAGGCGATGGAGGTAGTGGCTATTTGGATATAGCCGGTGGAAGAATGGAAATGTAAGAGATGCCACTACAAAAGGTTAGTCTGAGAATCCCTCGGCACTTCTCATATGCAGTTATGCTTGATGGGAAATGATGAGGCTAACCTAGAACCGACCATGCAACAACTTGGTTTCCGAACGGCAAACCTTCTTTTGCCTGTAGTGATGCGGCGGTAGATCTGGTTACTATTAAAGCCAGCAGAACCATGCCGATCTAATGTATGCCGCCGACGCATTAGTATGGTCTAGCATGATGACTCTAGAAAAACTAGGAAGATAGCGACGAACGTACCTGCATGCCCATAATTCGCTTGGAACCCCTACTGACGGCAATCGATAGGGTTTTAGAAATCGGCGTTATTGATTCCTCGAATATGAGATAGAGGAGCCCAGTAAGGACCATGAGAGTTGCCCCTATCGTTCTGTCCGACAGGTAAGAATCTGCACTCCGCTATTTGACTGGGAAATGGATGGATAATTACATGTTTGTTACATCCTCCACCTTGTTAGCGGGTAGAAGCGTGAAAATGCTCATAAAACCGCATCCGATACTCCACGTAGCTAAGACGAGTTTATTGCGCGACAGGAAACTAATGCCGTAGGATAGAGGCCATATCGCCGCAAGGATGAAACAAAAAGTGTAAATTTCACGATGAAAATATGATTGAACCTATTCTATAGGTAAGCTATAGTCACGTTTCCGATTTTTCGTCATTAAAACATGGGGTGAACTGATATTACTCACAAGTGCCTCCAATACCCCAACATATATCAATATCTGTAACCAAAAAGTTATGTAGTCACCCAGTGACTGAACATGGCTGAGAAAAATCTTTCGTCCAGCTGCTATCGCCTGCCGTTTTGCTACAACTTCCTCCCAGAAGAAGACGGGGAAAATGCCATATGCGTAATATCTCCACGACGACTTTTGAATCCAGAATATAGAATACAATATGACTAGTATGGAAGAAAAGAACATCGTACTGAATGTCGTACGACTTGGGACGGAAGTTTCATGCAGGACGTGGAGATCTATCACGGTTGTCAGCGCATATGCAATCCATCCGAGATAGCCTGCAGTAACTATAGTTCGGAGGAATAGCCAGTCATAGGTCTGCAGATATCGCAGGCCGTCCAGAGCGGTATGTAACAGATCGGAAGATTTCCTAATCGCCTCGTCGTATTTCTTCCTCGAAATTAACCGTTGAATTTCGGAGATGCGGTTCTCGATAGAACGCTCATTAACTCCGAAAGCTTGATATGGTTGGTAACGCAAAACTGAAGCTCTTTTATTCTCCTCTTTCACTCGGTACATCTCTAGAACCCCCTGGGTGTTCGCGAGAGCAGCCAGGGCTTTTTCTTTGGGTGACGCATCAAGGTACGAAAGGGGGAGCTCCCCAACCGAATTCACGGGGAAATCCAATCCAACCAAGTATGCCATGAGAGCAGCTACGTCGGCCTGGGCAACATCATGTCTCTGAACGCTATCTAAGCCCCAGTCGGAAGAGAATCCATCTTCATGGCCTGGAGCCTTTCCCCTTCTCTGAATTTTCGGTTTAGCGACTCCAGAACCCCAAACCACCAAGGGAGTACGGGTATTGTCCGGGTGTCCATCACCATGGCTCCCCCAATCACTCATGCCATGATCAGCCGTAAAAACAAAGGCTGACTCATTATCGCCGTAAAACTCCTCAACCAATTCTGTAATCTCTTTCACTCCTTGGTCGACAACCTTGATATTATGCAGATACTCCTTCGAATAAGGCCGATAAAAATGCCCAGCCGTATCCAAACCAAGTAAATGCAAAAAGAAGACAATCTTATCTTGTCTCAATCGCGCATCAAGCTCTGGATCTTCCTTTGCCGCGGCGAACATTGCCTTCACCTTCTCAAACACCCAAATATCCAACTGCGACCCGTCCTTGCTAAAATACTCTGCCTCCTCGCCATACGACTCCGCATCGATTTTCCCCGGCGTCGCACCCTCCTTGAACATAGGCAATATATCCGGACTCCCCCAACTCCAGGTATGCCTACTGCGATTGAACACGCTGTCGAAATTGACAGGATTGAGCTTCCACCCCGTCGTCACCGACGAGACATCCTCATACAAGCCAGCAATGAGGGCGACATGGCCCGGCCTGGACTCCGTGGGCACCCGCGTATGCGACACACCAAAGGTTCCATGGTAAAGGACGCGGGAGCGAATAAACGGCGCAAGCGGTCGAGGCGGTTTATTCCCAGACGACACAGTGCCTTTTTTTTGCTCGAGATTGGGATAATCGGGGTCCAGCACGCCTCCGGGAGACGGGTCCGGAAAGGACTGGAAAGCCTTATCAGCACGTAGACCGTCTCCGACGAAGAGAAAGAGTCTTTTTGCGGGGGCTTTTGCGGAGGAAGCTCGTTGGACGCCGAATTCGCGCATGCCACTGACGATGGGGCTGACAAAGTAGATGTCGAATATTGAGTAGGTGTATATTGCATGGAAGATAATTGCCAGGGCTAGAAAGCCAACGCGCCCTAGCCGAGCCATAGTGTGCGAAAATACTGTTTTTGTCTGGAGATATTTGGAGAGCCGGGGTGGGCGTTTAGTAGAACCGACTCCGTTGGTTGTCTACCATATGTGGGAAAAGAGTGAAAACGGTCCAGAAGACCCTGAGGAATGCAAAAAAAGGGGAGAGGGGTTAAAAATACATTCCAGATTGCTATGGATTCATTGTCGGAGGTTGTCGCATTGCTGTAGATAGAGCTTAGAGGTTTGTTTAGAGCTCCTTTCCATAAATGAGCATTGTTAAGATATTACTAATCATGTTCACCCGTTCAGGGGCAAAGGTCAATGAGCTCTCTATATTAGGCCACTAGGGCAGAAGAGCTCAATCACCACCAGCGCCATGGTGGCATAGAGGGTACGAATCACCCAACCCAATCCCCCAACACTCTATAATTATATAACTCCTACAAATCTCGGTGTTTATATTTAAATAATGCCCAAACCGAAACAACTTTATAAAAATATCAATGGATATACAGTGCGCGTAAACAACAACAAATTGGCTTGCTTAGAATCTTATTTAAAAAGGACTCAGGTCTTTTGCTGCATAGCAACGTCAAAGACCCATAAGGATTTAGGTCAAATATGTAAATGCCTGCATCACTTTGAAAAAATAATAAAGTTAAAAAATATAAAATGCAGCAATTCATTCGAGAAACCTAGTCGTCCGCTCGCCTCACTTTCTTCGTAAGCGTATCCACCAGCCGACTATAGAACACTGAGGCATGCTGCCGGGGGAAGGTAATATCTATAGACAGATACTCGGGGAGAATATCAACCAAATCGCGATCGCGGTTGGGGTCCAGGAGGGGGAAATAGTGGAACTCTGCCGCTTCAAAGTTCTTGTTTTCCGAATCATGGGCGACAGCGAGTTTAAAGTGTAATGCTAGTAGAATGGGAATTGATAGGTTAGCCTTCTGTATTTCTTAATTTATTTCTATATATTTTCCGTCTTATTCTCCTCTTTCTCATTGTTTTGAGGAAATGAGGAAAATAAACTTACTCCCATTTATCCCCGTCTGTATGCAGTCATATAAGTGATCAGATTCTTGCTTCTTAGCATCACGGATAATGAGGCCTGTAAGGTCGCTGTACAGGTCTTCCTTCAGCTGAGCTATTTGCGCAACGTGAGCCGCTTCAGCACTACCCATCACGATCGTTCGCGAAGCACCACTGCTGTTGGTTTTGGCAGCGCTTCCAGGACCCTTGGAACTTGTAACGTATTCCACATTTGTTGCTGCGGTTCGGGAAGCGGCCAGCTTCGTTTGGAGGCCTTTGATCTCGTTTTGGGCATTAGTCAAGCCCGAACTCAATTTTTTGATTTTAGCCTCCAGCTCCGCAATTTCGTCATCACGGTCCTGCAGCTGCTTTTGAAGAGTGTGTGATTCTTTAGCTAGACTCGTCTTCATAGTAAGCTCCTTTTTTAGCGAGGCGATCAATTCATTTGATGCTACGCTTGGGAATCAGTCTCTCTGTGTCCAAAGCGGAATGGAGCTACATCCATACCTGCATTGTTCGACTCGCATTGTTTCCGCAGCTTCTCCACGTTGGAATTGGCTTCGAGAACCCCCACCTCTCGTAGATTTCGATACTTAATGTCCATATTCTCGTATTTCTTTGTCATATCTCCTAGCTTCCTCCTTAAAGTCGCCTCATTGTCTCCTTTCTCGATATTTGATGTCCCTCCCCCAGGTTTGCGTCGTTGGTTGGTTGTTTGGGATGGCTTATGTTGTAAGTGAACATGGCTGGAACTTCTGATGGGAGAATGGGATATAGATCGGGTAGCCGGGTATTGATTCTCCTCCGCCTCCCCTGCCTCATCTTCCTCTTCCTCCTCCTCCTCCTCCTGCTCTTCTTCTTCATTCTCCACCTCCACCTCCACTTGCTGCTGTTGTCGCCCATCATGCTTGGATTCAGCCCCAGGCTGTATGCTATGCGTCATGGATTTCGTTGCAGGATTCTCTTTCGCAAGTGGTTGGGTTGACTGGGGATGACGTGACCCCATCGGGGTATACTCGAATCCATCATCTATGGTCACTCGCTTTCCTGACCTTTTGACCTTTTTAGGTCCACTTTTCGTCCGGTCACCTTCCCGAGTGCGACCATGTGCTGTCGTTCCTGGGGAATCAAGCTCATCGTCCGATTGCTGCTTTGGCTCTGGGTGTGGCTCATCGTCTATACATTTTCCATGGTCGCTTTCCTTGGAAAAACTAGCATCAGGGGTCTTGTGGGCCTCTTCGGTGTCTTCGGGGGTCCTTGAGCGTCTGCGGATAGTCGAGCCTCTCGCAGGGCGACCTCTTTTTGGTCCCAAAACAACAGTCGAGCGAGCTTTACGCGTATTGGGTTTCGCGGCAGCCGTAGCCTTAGCTTCAGTGATTTTCGGTCTTCCCTTCACTTTTTTTGCGGGAGGTGCGCCGGTATCCGGGCCTTCATCGTGAGTATATTCTCCGCCGCCGTTCATCAATAGGTCGTCCTCCAAGTCATCGTCCACTAACCTGGACAATTTCGACGCAGCCTTTCGCTTTGGCATAGTTCAAGTCAAAAAAACAGTTTCGGCAATTTCACGTATTTCCCGATGATTATAGCTCTCATACTCTCTCCTTTGTACTTGATTGTGTGGCTAGGTATGTCTCCGCGTACAAAATAAACACAGACGTTGCAGGTGGTTGGCAGAACATGTGATCCGCAGGTCGGCGCCTTTTTGACCTTTTTGAGGGAAACTCCAACAAAGCAGCCAAGTTGATTCATGAACAACCGGCTTCAAATCCACCATCTGGCTATTTATGTTATTTTTGTTAATGTTTACGACATGACACAATAAGATAATTTCTTTCTACTTCGTTCTACTAACCTCGGTCATACTTCTTTTATCCAAAACTGCGCTCCCTTAGATTCCGCTGTGCCCCCGAGGAGCTTGAGGCATCCGTCAATCCCACTACGTATAACTCGCCATGGCCTCGGGCGGTGGCCGCAAATGGCAACAATTACTACAGGAACTAGTAATGATTGCTGGCACTGTAAGAAACCTTAAAATAGTGACAAGTTATCCTACTTGCGAAAATACCCGTGCTGACATGTATTAATCTTCCAGTCCCTTTCCACCTATTTCGTCGTCCGATTCCTCCTCTCCAGGGTCGAATTCGACCCCGATAGCCAAAAGCATGAGGAGGCGAAGCGGAAATCCGCGGCCATCTTGCGAAGACTCGACAGCCCTGATGATTCTGACGACGAATCGTCCAAGTCAAAAAAAAGTTCGTCACGGCAAAGGAAGCAGAGGAAGGAGGACCTCGTTCTCTCGCAATATGAACAGACCATCGCGATGGACGTTGTAGCGCCTGAAGATATCCCTGTATCCTTTAGCGACATCGGTGGACTGGAGGATATCATTGAAGAATTGAAAGAGTCCGTCATATATCCGCTCACCATGCCACATCTATATTCAACCACGTCATCACTCCTCAGTGCACCCTCGGGGGTGCTCTTATACGGACCACCTGGCTGTGGCAAGACGATGTTGGCAAAGGCGCTGGCGCACGAGAGTGGAGCTTGTTTTATAAATCTTCACATCTCAACCTTGACAGAAAAATGGTACGGCGATTCGAACAAGCTGGTCAACGCCGTCTTCTCTCTGGCGCGCAAATTAGAGCCGAGCATCGTCTTCATCGATGAGATCGATGCAGTACTGGGGACACGGCGGAGCGGCGAACACGAGGCCAGCGGCATGGTCAAGGCTGAGTTCATGACACACTGGGACGGGTTGACCTCGTCCAACACGTCTGGGCGACCACAGCGGGTTCTCATCCTTGGCGCGACAAATCGAATCCAGGATATCGACGAGGCGATTCTCAGACGCATGCCGAAGAAATTCCCTGTCACCCTTCCACCCGCCGCGCAGAGATTGCGGATATTAGGGCTTGTCCTTAAGGATACAAAGATAGACCGGGGAAATTTTGACCTGAACTTCCTCGTCAAAGCTATGGCGGGGATGTCTGGCAGTGATATCAAGGAAGCCTGCCGAGATGCCGCAATGGTACCTATCCGAGAGCTAATACGATCGAAACGGGATTCGGGCACTACGATGGAAACTGTGGATCCCGATGAAGTGCGTGGTTTGCGAACGGAAGACTTTTTTAAACGAGCAGGTGGCGTGAAGGCTGCCAACCATGGCGGTAGTAATGGTGCTATTAACCGCAAATCCATTCTCACGAAAGCCGCGAGCAGTGAACCACCTTCTGAAAAAGAGTGGACTACTGATTCTGAAGGAGGTGGTGATGGGGTTGTTGAACCGGAATTCATCCCAATAGATAAATGATCTATTGGGCTTCCCCGTCAGAGCGCACATCTATTACCTTATTTTATACCATTCATACACGTATATATACTCCGTTTTTTCAGCATTTCTTTCTAATTCTGAAATCCCACTCTTATTCATTCTTCGGGAAGTGTGTACAGTATGATATCCTTTCCTAACGGTGGCAATTATGGGAATATTTGGGACCTTGTTCGAATTATCATTGGCTATTATATAGAAATGAAATGGCGTTCTAACGAAAGGGGTTTTTTGTGTATTACTTCTGAAACGCATTGATAGGCATAATCAACATGAACGATGTCATTGAGATTGTATTATTTTTTTGTTTGAGGACGCAACTTACAGTAGCAATCCTTCAATCAGTATCTGCTCTTCCTGAACATACTCCACGGTTAGATAGTTTTGAGATTTGCGGAGACAAAGAGTCGGCTAAAAAATGACGTGATTACTCACCGCCCAGGAACCACTATCACCTCGCTCCATGATGACCCTCAATCACCGACATTGAATAATAAATGTTTTTCTTCCTCCACGCTGACTACCGTTGGCTCTCTTCCATATGAATAGAGACATAAAATCTGACCGTTGCAACTGAACAGGTGTTTGAATAGAGACTAGAAGCTTCATTGCCTCTCACCATCCCCTCCCGGAAACCATCCCCAACAATGGGCGCCTCTGATAATCCATCTTCGGCGCGGGACAACTCGTTGGACAAGCCGAAGTTCCTCCAGAGAAAGACGCTGTCTGGTGTCGATATCGAAGGTCACAATCTACCTCCCTCCCCCGCCCCATCCAGTCCTCGCGACGGTCGACGGTATGCTCTAGCTACGGAGTTAGTATTTACAGAGGGTAATGACCAGTTCAATGCGAGCAGTGTGCCAATCTACCAGGTAAGGCAGAGGGCGAGACAGGATATTCAACGCAGTTGGTTATTTTGATGAAAAGCCCTGTTGCAGCTGGGGTTCACTATACATCGAGACATTGACTCATTTTACCTCCGTATATCTTTTTAGAGTGCAACTTTCAAACAAACCTCCGGAAATGGTGGCGGCGAGTACGACTACACACGATCGGGCAATCCCACCCGAACACATCTAGAGCGACATCTGGCAAAAATTATGTCTGCGCAGCGAGCCCTCGTGGTATCCTCTGGAATGGCTGCCTTGGATGTGATTACACGCCTTCTTAAACCAGGTGATGAAGTTGTTACTGGTGATGATTTATATGGCGGCACACATCGCCTTCTTAAATATCTAGCCACTCACGGCGGCATAATTGTTCACCACGTCGACACTACTCGGCCGGAGAAGGTGTCAGAAGTCCTAGGAGCGATGACTAGACTGGTTCTGCTAGAGACTCCCACAAACCCGTTGATAAAGATAGTAGACATCCCACAAATCGCATCATTGACGCATGAGGCGAACCCCAATGCGTTGGTCGCGGTCGATAATACCATGCTATCCCCGCTCCTGCTCAACCCGCTCGACCTAGGTGCTGATATAGTCTACGAGAGCGGAACTAAATACCTATCCGGCCACCACGACTTGATGGCCGGCGTGGTCGCCGTCAACGACTTGTCCCTAGGCGAAAAGTTATACTTCACCATCAACAGCTCTGGCTGTGGTCTGTCCCCCTTCGACTCCTGGCTGCTCTTGCGCGGCGTCAAGACACTAAAAGTCCGCATGGAACAACAACAATCCAACGCGCAGCGCATTGCCGAATTCCTCGAAAACCACGGCTTCCGCGTCAGATACCCTGGCCTCAAGTCCCACCCACAATACGACCTACATCGCTCCATGGCGCGAGGACCTGGTGCCGTGCTCTCGTTTGAAACGGGGGATGTAACCACCAGCGAGAGGATTGTGGAGAGCGCAAAACTATGGGCTATCAGCGTCAGCTTTGGCTGCGTTAACAGTTTGATTAGTCTGCCCTGTCGGATGAGTCATGCTAGCATTGACGCGAAAACCAGGAGGGATAGAGATATGCCTGAAGATTTGATTCGGCTGTGTGTGGGCATTGAGGACGTGGATGATCTAATTGATGATTTGAGAAGAGCGGTATGTTAACTAAAAATTATTCTTTGTTAATCCCCGTTTTACACTTCACATGACTTCGCTGAAGTCCCTGCATTGCAATTTTACTAATTATGGCCAATTCAATTGGTATAGCTCGTCCAAGCTGGCGCTGTAACTGTATCACTAGACAACTTCCAAGCGGTCAACCCCGCTCCACCTAAAGGATGAAAGGAGTTGCGTGAACGCGCCGACATTGACATCATAGATCTTGTCCTTCGGTTACCTAACCCTCCTTTCGCGAGTTTTGCCTTCATCATTTTATCAATGACGTTTCTCCCCCCCCCAAAACAATTGTATATATGCACACACGAGATAATCCGGCGTTACCTGTGGGAAATGAGGAAATAAGAAAAAATAATTCATATAACATAAAGAAGATTCATGTTATTTCTCCGGAGATGGATTCAGAATCTCCTGTCTCTGTGTTCCTGACCTGACGATCCAATACGCTGAGCTCAAGCGCAGCTTGGCAAAATTCAAGCTCTGGCTAAAAACGCCATTAAAGTTACTCACCCTGAAGCCCATTCAGGGCACACTCTTATTTCTTCAACAGAGGTTTCGAGATGATTTGCTCGCGATGCCATCCCATGTTCATAAGATGGTTGGATATTTGTTATGTAGCCACCAACTGTAGCTGCTTTCCACGCCGGCGTTTGATATCAACCAATCTGTTTTAGCTTCCCATCTTCTTTTATTTACTTGGCCGAGTAGAAAAAAAAATATGAAACGGGGAAATTCGTGGGATTCGGCTTATTATTTCATGTTTGAGACATCCAGCTTCTTCACCGGCTTCCATCCAGCTAGAAACTTAAAGATCTGAGCAACTAATGCCTGAAATGTCATGCATTCTTTCTGCCTAACGTTCTTGTGTTAGCCCTCTGTAGGGGAGTAAATCTCTTTTAGCCGGGAGATTTCTCGGTCCTTGCCAGCTAATGGCTTGGTTTATCTACCCCGTTCTCCAGAATAATTGGACAGGGTTCAATCAGAGATACCCATTGCCATGCTTGGATCTGAGTATGAGTGTTGATGTGCCTGTAGCTGTGAGGTTATTGGAGGGGCGGAGAGGCGTGGTGGTAGTTGATTGCTTCCATGAAGGATATAGATGGTGGAAAGCTCAAACACCATTCTTGCCATCTCCGATATTAGATGCAGATACTTGGAGGAAAGCATGGAGAAGTCGAGAAATGGGAATCTGATAGTCCGGGGGAAGCTCATTTCGGGTGAAGGAAATGGAATACTGACAGCAGATTCTGGCGTCTGGGATCTCACGAATGTAAAACCATTGTAGTAGTGTGTTTGAGAATCATCTCAACTGGTGAGTGCAATGGAAGTATCCTTCAGATAATGAACCTCCGTGCCTGAAGACAAAGAACCGGGCTTCTCAAATATGTGCTTGTCCATCCCGCATATCAAGAGCTGTGACGCTTCCATGGTGCAATCTGTCATGTGATCTGTTCATGTCGCAGAACAAAACTGCGCCAAGTGGGATTAGTACTTCTGGAGCAATGCTGCATTCTTTTCGCCTTCGCACGTCTTCCTATTTGTCATGGCCATTTATGATTGTTTGCCTCTCATATTTATTAATTGTTTCAGTGTTTATATGTAGACACTCCCACTTCTGTCTTCTGGAGTGCGGAGTACTGACTGAGTACTATGATTCATTCGCTCTCCTTTCGCGAGGCAAGGTAACTTTCCTCAATCTCTAGTATAAATACGAGAAGTTACTCTTTGGATATATATTTCTGTCTATTAGCGTCACTCTATATTGTATTTGCGAAAATGAGCCGAGAAGGGTCGGCATCACAGTTGGTCTCGGGACCGGTTTCTTCTCCCACAGCTCGAGCGCCAAAACCTGGAGCATCCCAGTCGACATCAAAATGGAATCCGCAGATTTTAGGATCGAGGTTTGCCGTAGATGCAGTCAGCGCAGCTGGGTCTGCGGCATTGATATGTCCGCTTATCACCATTATTGACAAGTAAGTCGATTACTACATACTAGGAGTACTGTGTGCAATTTTGATTGTTTTTAAACCAACGTCTCTGATGGAAACTTCATAGGTCTATTATTGAGAAAGCTGCGAAGGGTCTTCCCATCTTCCATAGTCTTAAATCGTCACTGGTCGCGATCGTCAAACGGCCTCATAGTTTTCTCATTTCAACACCGTTTCTCCTCATATACACCCTTTACGGATCCACATACTTAACAGCTAATGTCATCGACACCATTACGTCGACAATGGATGACCGCAAATTTGCCCATGTCTCAGCGGGCCCTGCCAAATTCATTTGTACGGCTGTTGTCAATATGTCCATATGCGTTTACAAAGACGCTCGATTTGCGCGTATATTTGGAGCGCAGGGCACCGCTCCAGCGCCGAGCACACCACCAAAGTCGACGGGAATGCAAAATCTGAAGCAAAATTCTTCTCAGAGCGTTCCTTCTGTATCCACTACCAAACCTTCTTCTCAGACTTTGCCAATGCCTAAACGCTCATTTGCTCTTTTCTGCCTCCGCGACAGTATGACAATATTCGCATCCTTCAACCTCCCCACACTTCTTTCGCCCCACATCCCAGATATCCTCGCCTCCACGCCATCCTCCAAATCTGCTCTGGCCCAATTCTCCATCCCGGCGTCCGTCCAGTTTTTCAGCACACCGTTTCATCTGTTAGGTCTGGATCTTTACAATCGCCAACCACCCGGAGGGTTAAATGCAGCAGATAGATGGGCCCGGGTCAAAAGGGATTGGGCACCAAGCGTCATGGCTCGTATTGGACGAATAGTCCCCGCTTACGGATTCGGTGGTGTGATTAATACCAAACTCAGAATGACCATGATGAACTCATTAGAGGAGAAGGGACGTGCGATATAGAATCGAATGATTGTGCCGAACTGATGTTGCCAGAATCGACGCCCCGAGGAACTTATATAGATACGACCTTTCGATATAACGTATAGTACAACGGCCGACTAGACTAACGACTGCGAAAAGAATATAACGAATTAGACACCCTCAACCTCGATGTCGCCTCCATTATTTTGCGTCCTTAACACACTCAACGCCTCCTCACCCCCCCACGTACATTGGAATGCATCGAAATCGAACCAGGATACTATATTTCCTTTTATTTATGAAGTGATACCCTAAGAACACTTTTTTTTCCATCTATAAACTTTCTTGCCTTCTTCTGCCAGGTTCATTGAAAATTACTTTCTTCCGTTTTGAATAGCCCTGATGCACATTCAAATAGATTGCACATACAAGAGATTGCATATATATTGATAGATATAAACTACAAAGGTATAGATATATAAATATATACTACTATTCGTTGTCGCTTTATCTTTCCCAAAAAAAGTTCCTGTTATATAATGGAGTGGGTGAATTGAATAATTTTTGCTTCGAACCTTAACAGTACCGCCGTCCATCCTCTCCAACCGGTTCCAATCTTAAAAAGCAAAAGGGATGCAGAAGAACAAAAATTTTGTGATACAAAAATTTTACATCACAACAAAACAATATCATCAACCTGCCCACACTCGGAATCGAACCGAGGATCTTATCATTACTAGTGATACGCTTTACCACTAAGCCACGCGGGCGTATTCGGTTGAGGCCGACTTGATATTGTGGTCTACCAGGCTTCCAGAGCTAGGGTAAGTAACCGATAGAGCGAGGAAGATCTATTATGTGTAAAACTCGGAAAGTGAGTATTCAGTATTTCATCATTTATATTTGATGATAACTATATACAGATATGTACAGTGCAATTCAATAAATAATATCTAGCGATATTCAGCTATTGCACGAACCACAGGACATCGTGTTGATACGTAGCAATCCACACGAGCTGAAAAGCGACATCGGTTAGCTATAAAAAGGGGAGAGGTATATCTTGATCCTGTTTCTCTGTCCGGAGCCCGTTCATAATCGGAGACCCAAGCGAAGCTATGGGTCCGGTTTTGAGTTTGCTGAAGTCTGCTGAATGATGTGGAGTCACAATCGCAGGGAAACAAATGATGGAAACGAAAAAAAGGATAGAAGTCACTTCCTTTGAGTCCGTATATTTTCATCAAATGTGGAGAGGGGTTGAACACGAAGCAGGATTAACACCAGGAAAATGCAACGTACATTTGCAGTACATGCCATGAGAGAAATTCGAAATCAGGAGATAAAATCGGATATATGAAAGGAGATTTTTCTGGAACCCACCACCCGAACTCCTAGAGTCACCAATTCATCTCGACCTACCTAACTTACTCACTCTTCTCTTGCTCCCGTTTTCGCATGGCCCTTTGCTGCTTCTTCTGCTCACGGTGTTGCTCCAGATTCGAAAAAATCACGGAGGTTGTCTGGCTATTATCTTCAGCAAGGGGCGCTACAGCCTGTCCACCTTCGATACCACGGAACGCATTGTGGAACGCCCACTGCACACCGCGTTCGACAGGCTTATCGAATATGTAAGGCAGGAACGGGACAACGGCAAGACCGAGCTATTTAGTAACCGTCAGAACTCATCATATAACCATGCCTACCTACCACCCATCGTGGTACGAGGACCTTACCCCAATCGGCAGCCATGTGCGAATCATAGTATTCTTCGCCCCCCTAAACGCACGCCCAGAATACTTCACCACAGAATGGATCGTCAATGCAGGTAAACCCATACTAGCCACTGCCTGGAAAACAGCGCGTTCAGCCATGACAGCCCGATAATCTTCCACCAAGGGAATCTTCGTCGTCCGCCAAGGCAGCAGGGTATCCTCCTCCGGATCCGGCCAGGGCAGCGGATGTGCCCTAGATGTTGTCGAGTTGAACGTTTCCTCCTGCTCGGTTGACTGGCTTTTATGTTGGAGCTTGCGTCTCGCCACTGCATCAACCGCTAGCCCACTTGACATAGTTCCAGTCGCATTGTGATACGCATCACATGCCGGGGCTAACACTCGCATGTTCCGCAGATAGGCTTTGTAGCCTTCGTTAGCAACATCGCCTAATATGTAAGCCCAGGAAATACCATATGCACTGCGGACGAGCCAGGGATGCGCGACGGGGCGGAAGGATTCGCCAATGTCGGAGGTATAAGCGACATAACGATGCGCGGAGAGGAGGATAGTGCGGATGCGGTTCGTGTATGCTGCGTATCGGTATTTGGTATCGGTGGAATCCACAGCGCTAGGCCATTGTTATTGAGGGTTTTGTTGTGATTGAGACTTTGGAGTGAGAAATATGTTTTGGTGACCCATACTAGCCATCATAAAACTGGTCCAGGAGTTCATCTTCACGGTCAATAAGTTTTTGCAGTTCTGGGTTTAGTTTTCGGCGGAGAGCAAGGTCGTCGCTATGGGATGCTTTATTTGTAGCGTCATCGTCGTTGTCGTCTGCTTGGGGTTGCTTGCTAAAACCCCAAGCCATGATATGATATATTTATGCCCTTGAGATAGATAGGAGCTCCAGATGAGAGATAGAAGAATGGATACGGGTGAGCAGGAAAACGGGGACCACCTTCCATATATGGGAAGACGCTGCCTGTGATCAGACCACCCATGTCGGGAAATAGAGGCAAAACGTGTGGTACCTCCACATGAAGTACATCGCAAAGAGTTGGGTGCGGGACATTGCAGGCAACGATGATGGCTGGGGTACCTGATCTGGAAGTTTTCTACTCCGTAAAGAGCCGCTCTGTATTCTGATTGGTCTATCGGCGGTTTTCGGCTGATGCAGCAGCACTAATTGTAATAGGAATAGCGTCATGACATGAGAACCTCCAACGTCAAATTCTTGGTCAACTTGTTCAATCAACAAAACCACCAGCTCCAGTCGCGGGACCTATCAACAGTCATCTCAATTGACTATTCCACACCTCAATTGCCATTCCAACCCTACCCTCACAATGGTCGTTTACTACACAATTGCTGGCCGCCAAATTGGCTCCCACGTCGTATGTGTTCATGCTCCTGTTCATACATTATTCCCACCCTGAGAGTCTCCAGCAATGTCAATCACATTAGAGCTGCGGGTCGAACTTCATATCCTGCCTAATTGGTAGCGCAGAAATGAAGCACATAACCATGCTTGAATTTAGATCGTTGTGCTGACTTGAGAATAATTATCCAATAGCTTTCCATGGCGACTCTCGGAACTACCTTCCTCGGCTGCTACCTTGCGATGCCAGGAAAGACGGACAAGAAACAGGGACCGCCCATCAAGGCCAGCAGCAAGGATGAGGAACAATTTATCCAGTACGTCCGAACAGCATTTCGCCCCATTTAAGCACTTTCACCCATTTTCTACTTCGGACCGCGCTATTGCTTTTGTCAACTATCGTCTGCGTCCTTCCAATATCAAAAACATGAATGAAAAATCATTATTCTAACTGCAACACAGGGACTTCCTAAAAAACATAGAGGCTGAGGAGAAGAAAATGAAACAATAAAGCCAATACCTCTCATATTTTTTCGCCCCGGTCCTCTCTCTATATCTGACGCCCGACTTTGTACGCCATCTATTTCTCGCATCATAAATTTTAGAATTTTGTCCTCGAATACACTAGTTCGTTTTTTGTATTTCCCCCCTTGGCTGGTCATAGCATGCCAGTCGCATCCTTCTTCAATCGTAGAGAAGTGTGTATGGAAAGTTATAGGGATGGATTTTGAGTATGAGGTGGATTGGGATCAGAGGCTGGCCCGGGAACGGGAATGGAGTGACAACCATGGTTCTTTAGAAACGGAAGTATGTTCCCTGGGACGATACGGGTGAATATGAATGAGTACTACATTTATTTATGAGCTTGGTTGTGAAAGAACAAACTGCGAATCCTCAACTAACCTTCCACGATGTAATATATAACCATTCTTAAAACTGGGCTTTTACTTTCACATTCATTGAGGGAATATGTCTCCTTTGGTGTCTTCTCGTGGAATTGGATGTTATGGTTTTTATCTCTGGTTTTTTCTTTGACCCTTCAGCCCGCTCTTCTCTCTTGTTTTTCTCGCAATGCTCGTTGTTAGCCCCCTCCGCTTGCATAATATACTCCACATGTACGGAGCGAATTGTACAAATGTACCAGAACAACACTACTCTACAGTGACACATTTCATCTTTTACAGTCATAGCTTTATCGTAGTGGTGGCATTTATTCAGCAACAGGCACTATATCCGCAACATGTGGATTGATTGACCTGATGTCAAATCTGAGATATCAACCACGTACTCCAAGTCATCCCTCGTAGGAAGTAAATATTGAATCGGAAAAGTAGAAAAGAGAGAAATCCTCTAAATCACGGCCGTAATTCAATCAACCCCTCAGGCTTAACCGGCCTTCCAATTTTGATCAACCCCCTCCCCCTCCCCCTCCCCTTCCCCAAATCCATCACAATACTAAACAGGGTTGCGATGGAGCTTTCTCTTGTTACCTCTCTACAAATAGCAGTCGGGTAGCCCTGTTCATCCTCCAAAATGTCTTCAATCGCCGAAACACTGGGCGGGCCCGCCGCTGTTTTGTCCGCAACCAGCTCCCTCACCCTCTTCAATCGGTCGAGGGTATCAACCAAGTGCAACTCCCCTTCCGTTTCCAAATGTGGACGGATGAAATGGTTAGTATGCGTGACTACGCCAACCACATCCCCTGCACCATCCTCTGTCCGCTCTCCCATCTCCAGCCGCACAACATCCCTAGCCGAACACTCCAAGCCCACCCCGCCCGTCCGGTCCGCAACGAGAATATGACACGCAGCAGCGACACCATACCGTTCCAATATCTCCACGGCATCGGCACGGGAGGCGCTATCGAGCACCGCGCGCAGGGCGAGGTGGGTGGGTAGTTTGGCAAAGTCTACGCCAGCGGCTTTTATCGCATTGAGGGTGACGCCGACGCCGTGGCTGTTGAGGCCGATTTTGCCAATTATGCCGGCTTCAGTTAACATGTGGATTGTCGGGATCGTGCTTGTTGTTGTATTTGCTGTTTGGTGGATGTGAAGAATGAGCAGGTTTGGGGATTGTTCGCGCTCCCACTGTAATTATAGGAATAGGTTTCTTAGAGTTAGTTCACCGAGGGAGTTGGTTATAGGGGGGGTGCTGGAGGCCAGGGGCTTTTCTCACATCCCAATTCTGAGCTAGGAAGCTCTCCTCCTCTGATTTCCAGGACAGAGCCGTGCAGCCGTCGCTGAACATGCCATATGCAATCTCCGTGCGCACGTTCAGTGCCACGATAGATTCCACGGGGACACCCGCTCCTTGGGCAATGCCTAATTATTTAAAATAATTGTTAGCTTTTCTGATCACATTCCCTATCCCATTCACCTGATTTCCAGGTGATAGATGAAAACAAATGGAGCCAATATCATTATATACTGGGAGGGGGGGGGGGGGGGGGGGGGATTTAAGGATGGATGGATGGATAAAAAAAAAACTCACCTCGCATCTCCTGCATATATCCTGGAAATGATGTCTCCAGGAATGGCACGAACTTGACCGCAGCGGCGCAAACGTGCGGCCAATCCATCCGACATCGCCGCTTAAACAAACTTTTATAGAACTCCAGGCTTCCAGCTATCTGCTCCCGTGCCTCCTCACCATGTTTTAGCCCTATCTATTATGAAAGAACCAAAGGAGGGTTTTGTCAGTTTCCGATAATAGTTCGTCCATGCTTTCGGATGGCAACATTATTCTTTTAATACCTCAAAAGAGTTCCCTTCACAAGATATTGCAAGCATGATTGCAGAAACCTAGTAGATTCGAACAATAAATAAATAAACTTTTTGTCGTTTAAGTTAGAGAGTACAACTCCTGTGACTCGAACTGTCGAACTGTATATTATTAAAGAGAAATACTTATTCCTTCTGACAAGCCAAAAAAATCATTTGTTGAAATACACCTTATTCTGTATCTCTGAAGAGAATGTCTGTTCCCTTCTCCCCGCATTCGGGATAGAGTTAGCTTATCAGAGTTCGGCACATAGCCTGCGCTAATGCCGGAACCGAATTGCCGACCCAGGGGTTAGTTGAGGGACAGTAACACCAACACGGTTTATTACTAGTATCAGTTTATCGACGCCTCTTGCGCATATGGCCCTAGGTTGGGGTTCTAACTCCGTGGGCGAACATCGTCTGAGGTTGGATTTCAGAGATCGCCCAGGGTTTGGAATATCCCCCTCACCTACTGTAAGATGGCTTCCATTAGAGATAAACGCAATATGCAATGGCGTATTGGGCAGGTCGCTATTGGGATTCCATATTGTTCTTGCATGAGGGGCAGTAGTTGGCGAGTCTAGCAAGACGATGTTGGCCATTTATTGCCTGCCTGGTGTTGCATTCATAACGGCCATGGCATAGTAATAATTACTATGGTTTCACATGCTTTGTACAGCAGAAAAACACTGGTGGGACTCTTCTGCTATTCAGGTTGACAAGGTGATAAAGTGGGATCACAATACACTTTCTCGAAAGGTAAATGGCATAATGTCGGCTACGATATATAGCCAGGGAATCATTTTCGAGAGAGGAACTTGAAATCAAGAAGCCACTTGGGGTGGATGTAGTAGTTGTCGACGCTTTCCGCGCGATTGAGGATGGTAGATGGTATGTTGCGTAAAAGACCTTTTAAGGTGCTGGTAGAATATTGATACGGCAAATGGAATATTGATAACGCTTTTAGACTAGGTGAGACTCTCCCGAGAGGAGTATATATACCCTGTGAAACTGAATAAGGTCTATAAAATAATAGGGGGGGCGAAAGGGATGGTAAGAGTGGAAGCAAAATAAAAGGACAGAAAAAATTATGTCAGAGGTTCTGATTCGAACACGCAGCATTGCCAGTGAAGGTGGCCCAGATCTGGAGGCCCAAATAAAGTGCTCCTTCGCATTCCCACCCGATATATGTGCAACGCAGCCTACAGGGTGCATCCATCACCGCCTTTACAAACAACACAACCAACAGGCCTAAAGGAATAAAAAAATGGAAAAGAAAGGAAAAGAAAAAAGAAACTGGAAGGGGGAGGGGACTTACCAAGATTTATTAAACCAGCGCCAACCATCTGATATGCGTCGCCTTTCTCGGCCTTCCACTTTTCTGGTTATATAAAGGGGGAGATTTGTCCTGAACGCATATCGAGGCTAACGAACCCATGGATGGTCTGGGAATACTGAGGGGTGGGAAAGGCTTATGCTTTAACCCCCTAACCGCTCAACCACCGGGTCCTTTTGGATGTAAATGCACACATTTCCCAAATATTTAAGGGAATAAATGGTGAATGAATGGAGGAATGAATTTTGGTTGGGAGTGTGTGGTGAATTTTATATCATGTGACTTGTCCCTATCTTTGCCAAGCAACATCCGTTCCCTTCAGGGGAAGAAAAAAAAAAAAGCTGCTTCATGAACTGAATGTAAGTTAGTTATACAGTTGGCGACAACGAGTAATTGGAGAACATGTCAAAAACCTATATTGTCTAACTTTCTAATTGAACGGTCATATAAAAATTTCCTAAAGAAGAACCTCCCCGATATCATCCATGAAGCTTACCCCTTTCCCATTTCCTCTCAGTATCGGCACTGATATCGTCCATCTACCACGCATCTGTCGTCTTATCCGCCGTCCAGCTGCTAGCAATGGCAATAGTGGCGCCAAAGCTACTACGACCACCTCAACCTACCTGGACAGGTTTATCCGTCGCATCCTCTGCGAGGAGGAGCTCAAGGACTACTATGCAAAATTCTCCGCACTGCAACACCACTCCGCCTCAGGTGCCAAAACATTGACAACGGTGCCGCCGCGAGGACCCGCGATGAATGCAGCTAACATTACAGAGATGGCTAGATGGCTAGCTGGCCGATTTGCCGCAAAGGAAGCAGCTAGGAAAGCAGCTCCTGGCGGCGCTTCGACGATAGGTTGGAAAGATGTTATGGTTCGCATTGATAAGGAGAGGAATGGTAGTGGAAGCGTGAAGCCGGAAATTGTATATTTGAAGGACGGAGGTGTGCGTGGGGAGGTTGGCAAGCTTTCCATCTCTCATGATGGCGATTATGTTGTTGCGACAGTTCTTGCGGCGACAACTCCTACCACTACACAACTTCCTGACGGTTGACAACTGGGTGGTGTACACCTTTTCGTTCTGATTGCGAGATGAGAGCTATCCTATAGAAAACCAAAATTTCTCAAGCTGAAATTTATGCGATCCTTGTTAAGGCTGGTCGATGCCATCATTACGGCGACTAAAGGCACTAAACCTTTAAGAGACTGTGGGGGAATGGGGCTCCTAAGAAATGCCCGGATGTGATGAATTTAAACTGTCAAGATATACTATGGCGGCCAGAAGAAAAGTCAAGGGAGATACATCTCTTCCGCTGTGCACCGATGCTTCGGAAGGTTTAGCTATCATTCGAAACCTTCAAGGCCCGAGAAACACATGCGAGTATGCAAGTCTCGTATCGGCGCTATGAGGTAGGTATACCAAGGGCATTATTAGTAATGACGCTTTTTGTTGATTTATCCCGGGATACTCCAAATTCGGCCTTGTCGAGGCGGAACTTCATGTAGTATGGATTGACCTGAGGGTGTTTGGGCTACACTCGAGTTTGAAGTATCAATTCCGATTTACAGCACCATGTGGTTTTCTGTAAACTACATAATTTGCAATTCTATATTCGTGATTTTGACCCATGAGTTATATCTGGAGTAGCCATGGTCCTGGATGTAAGAGGGTTGAACCTTGGTTGGTTGTTATGATCTATCTATGACGGGTGTGTGCGGGTCACGTGGGGTAGACCTCTGTAGGAGGATAATGTTGGGGGGATTGGATTGGGTGATTCGTACCCTCTATACGGAGTACCACCACGGCGCTGGTGGTGATTGAGCTCTTTTGCCCTAGTGGCCTAATATTTTTCATTGGTTTATTGTTATGATCTATCTAGTGGCGAGGAATATATTGTGTGGGTCACGTGGGATAGGGCTCGTGTAGGTAGTAGCTCCAACATAGCCGTAGTACCCACTGGATCCTGTCATGTGATTGGCCACTTCGCCCGAGGGAACGGTTCGTCTAAAGATCGCGAATGGAAATTTTTTTTGGAAGAACTCAGAACTCTCGAGAAGAGGCTCAGTGTATGCTGAGTTTGAAGTTACTAGTATCAATGCCTAGGGCTAACATCCCGGGCCAATAAAATCGCGCCTCTGGGTTTGGCGAGTAGAAAATCCGACGACAATCGGGCCCCCGTTACACCCACCTTTCCAGCAGATGGACTATCTTGGTTGGGTGGAAACCTTCAACTTAGTTATTGGCTTTGTGAGTTCTGGTCATTAACTACTTGAAAGCGCACTTTTCTTGTTGATAATAGTCAGAGATTTACTAGAGGGCATCTTCTACTGGGTTCAATATGCCGTTTTCACATCATAGTCATTCTGGCCAGTTCTGCGAGGGCCACGCAAAAAACTCGCTAGAAGATATCATTCGGACTGCGATAGGGAAAAAGATGTGCGTGTTTGCGCTAAGTGAACATATGCCGAGAATGGCGCAGGATTTTTATCCGGAAGAAGTGAGGTTTCCTTTCCTTTCCTTTGCTTTCTTCTTTTTTAAACAAAAAGAAGATATAAAAGTTAATAGTCTTTGTATCTGCGTGGAGTCATCAAAGGTGACATTTGTAAGGGCAAAAAAAGGTTGGTTTAGTTGACTAATGGTTGGTGGTATAGATTGAAGCAAACGCTACGGAGGCGTCTCTGATCGAGAATGAAAGCGCTTACTTTAAAGAATCCCAACGTCTACGGGAGAAATATATCTCGGAGATAAATATCCCCATTGGATTTGAATGTGACTGGATTCGCCCCTCGTCGTTGACGTGGATCCAAAACTCATTGGCGCGGTTTCCATTCGATTTCTTCGTAGGCTCGGTACACCATGTACACACCATCCCGATTGACTATGACACCGTCCTTTATCATAAGGCAAGAGAGATCGCTGGGGGGAAGGATGAGAGGCTATTTGAGGATTACTTTGATGCCCAGTTCGCCATGCTCAAAGCGCTGAACCCACCAGTTGTTGGCCATTTCGATCTCATTCGATTAAAAAGTGATGATCCTGAACGAAGCTTCCAACAGTGGCCGGCAGTCTGGGAAAAGATCCTGAGAAATTTGGACTATGTGGCAGAATATGGGGGGATTTTGGAACTCAATTCCGCTAGTCTAAGGAAGGGGATGACTGAACCATACCCCAAGGCTGAGATCTGCAAGGTAAATTCAAAATTCCGAATCTCCCTCAAACGAAACGGAAACGTGACCAGACAATCTCCACCATTGATAACTAACAAAAAGGGTGTGTGCTTCAGGAATTTCTCGCACGGAATGGCCGATTCTGTATGTCAGATGATAGCCACGGCATCGACCAGGTTGCCCTTAATTATAATCGTATGCTCGAGTTCACAGAGCAAGTTGGCATATCAACCCTGCACTACTTAGAGTATTGCAATGAGCTACCATCGTCAAGCAACCGCTTCGATCGGAGATTCCCTCACACCGGGTTGCGTTCAGTCAGCCTTGCAGATCTCAAACAGTTGGCTTTCTGGTCATAGCCCGAAACCATGACGACAACGACGCCAGCAAAAGCTACCAGTCCATACCACAAGCTGCGCTTCCGCTTCCTGGGTTTCCCGCAAAATGCGATACAACCTATGCAGCCACGGAGCCGGATCGCTCACTGATTGCATGATTTCAAATCCACTTCTCAAATTTAGCCCTAGAAACAAAGAACAATGTGATCCATGTTCCAGGTTTGTGGAACGTAATGGCAGTCGCGCAGCGTCTGAAAACGATGGTTTTTTTTTTTTTGCTTTCTTTCCTTTTTCCTTCCCGGACGTAGTTGACACACTCCGAGCCCAACAACCAGCCAGGGTCCATACGAGAACCGGATGACTTGGCTCAAACTCAAATGCTAGCTGATGCTCTATCCGCATGCGTAGGCGCCATGTCAAGGAAGAAAATAAGAAATGAGAAAGTAAGTGCCATCGTGGAACAGCCCAATCAAATAAGCGCTATAGTCCTTTCCGAGTGAACCCGTTGAATTCTTGTGCGATTATAGGGTTCGTTACCAGGCCGGGTAAGGCGAACAGACCAGGAGAGCTAAAACAAAGAAAGAAAGGAAAGAAGAAAAGAAGAAGAAAGAAAAGAAAAACGGTATGGCCAAATCACCCAGCTACACAGGAGTAACCGAAAAGTATGAAAAAATAAGAAGAAGAAGAAAATGCCACGGAGAGTGATATTCAAACTATTATTTCGGTTTCATTCATTACACCTCTGTTGAAATCCCCAAAATCGACCAACTCCGAGCTTCTGGCACTTGAAACACGTCTGACCAGAGGAACGGTAGGAAATAGTTGAGGCTTTGGAATGCCATGTCGCGATTATCACAAACAACTACTTGTGCGGATTCAAATCGGTCGGGACAAGGATAAATGAGTAAAATGAAACAATGTTTAAAACACGCCCACTGGCACGTTTTACCCGCATAGCAATTGGCCCTGCTAAGCTGGCGTTCCGGGTAAACAAATTTGTTTTTTTCTGTTGTTCACTTAAGATGATAATATGTGCATGCGCTGCAATAGCAGCAGCCCAACTTATTTTATCCGTCGCATTTGGACAATACTAGCAGTCTTCAGGTCGCGTCTTCCGCTCAAGTTCGCCTCATAGGGATTGAGGAGGACGGCAGCTGAAGAAAAGGTGACTGTTTGGTTGGAAGAAATCTGGTCGTTTTCTTCTTCTTTTCTTTTTCCTTTTTCCTTTTTTCTTTGAAGGTTTTGAAGGGTGGTGGCGGTTTGGATAAGGTGACTCACTGACGTTGAGGAGGGTGTTGGCTGGAAAGCGGTGCATGCATATTAAACCTGTCCAACGAGCTCATTTTCTAGCAGGATATTCTGGCTCACTCCTTTTGCATTTGCTGTTTCACTCTTCTTGTATTTTGATATTCGCCTCTGAGCGTTTTTGTTGCCTTCTTACTTCTCCTCAACCTTGCAACTTCCGTGACAGCCATGGAGATTCTATTAATTGGGATCTGAATTCGGAGTAACCGAGTTAGTATTTATGCAACTGGTAGTAACGGCACACATTCAGGGCGCATGCTGCTGTGCGCTCATATGCCCGATTTGAAATTCAAGCAGTACATGGCGAAGGAGCACTTACGGTGAACTTTCCAAATTCGCTATTGTCCAGCACCCTGTTCTACGATGGCATCTAGAATCTTTTTCTTCCATTATTGAATATACAATGTGGGGTAACCGCTGATATAATGATGGGGTTGCTGGATGTACCAGATGCTAGCTTTAAGCTTAAATCTAACCTTAAGCCTGAGCGTTACTTACACTAGTCATAATGGATTGCAAGTTAAAGTTAACTAACTAGTTAACTACAAAGGAAAACACAGCATCCAAGTTGGTAGAAATTCATGTTATTCATATTTCCGTGGTGGTTCAAAAAGGAGAGGGACGGAGAAACAATGTCCTGTTTCATGTCTTCTCAAAAAGGAATATTTTTCCTGTGCTCCCTCTAACTGTTCTCATTAAACTCTTGCCGTTGCTATTATTGGATTTGGACCGGATTTTTAATAACCACTAGTAGGTGGTATGCATATGACATTCGCTTTCGAACTATTTTCATTGGTACCCGGTCAGGGGTCGATCGCCGCATGGCGGAACTCAACTTAGCCCACTAGTAGCGTATGAGAATCGATCGCGGAACCTTCGCGCATGCGCTCGCCGTAGCGTTGCGGCCTTGAGCGACTGAGGCTTGAGAGTGTGTGTGTGTGTGTGCATGTGGGGACTTTGTATTCATATTTTATAGGTTGGAGCAGGGGAAGTGGGCAAATTTGCACTTGTCAGAAACAATTCTTAATCCACTCGCTGAGATAGCTGATATAATGCGATTGACGGGGCGGAGTGTGGGGAGATAAGGTCGCCGATAAGAGGTGATGATAGGCATGGAATGCTGAGCAAAGGTGGGGCAGTCAATTGTGAACGAAAAAGCTAATAGTTCTGCACCTTTCCCTCGCTCTTCGCCTAAATTTTATGTTTTATCCGTTCATCTGATCGATAAGCGAGAAGATAATACCATTAGAAGTGGTTAGAGAGGCGATGCCAAGGGAGTAAATTTTTCCATGCTGCTATTTTGACTGATCCAAGCACCTCCATCTATTCTAGTTCAAGTCTGTTGATCCACAGCGCAAGATGTGGTCGCCGAATAATGCACGGACAAAAATGGGAATCTAGATCTGTGCCGAATCAAGGCATGCGAACTCTGTTGGATGCTTCAAAAGCATTTAGTGAGGGGTAGGAGTTTTTGGACTTCCACGGCAACAAAACTCAGAAGGCGAGATGGTTACCGTTATATGCACAGGGAGCAGGTTTCATATCACTTTATACTTTGGGGCGAATATTAGTTAGAGAAGTTGTAGTTTCATAAAACCGCTACATTGCGGGATAAGGTATTTTGAGGCGCTTTGTTGCAATGTGTCCTTGCGGGCCTCTGGGCTACTGCGTACGGAGTAGTTCAGCCAGCTTACCTTTTAGGGCATGTGGATCAGATCGACAGGGAAAAGTCGTGACAAGGGGTTCAGTCTGATTCAGTCACAATCATGCAATTAATTTGGAAAATTATACGCAGTAAGTCTTCCGCAGAAGGAAAATCGCCGCTAGACTTCCGAGGGGTAAGTTATTCGGAATTTAATATTAAAAGACTCTCTCCGTCCGCTAAGGAGACACAGACGACCGCACACATATTCCTACTCCCTGAGCAAAACAAGACTCCACTCTAGGCCAAGCGGTCCACCCTGTCAGGGCCCGACAAGACGGGCACTTGATGTCGTTACTTCTCAACTAACGAGCACACATCCACTGTCATCCAAAACCTGCTGCCGCCCAGAGGGGAGCCTCTCCAGGACACAGCGTATTGATTTGAAATATCCTGGTAAACCGGTATGAGCCACAGGATTAGCCATTAAATAATAAAGTGTAATATAAAATGAATAAGTGCCAATAGCCTCTGATATTCGTTGACTAGCCAGCATCCAAAGGCCTCTTCTCTGACATGTATTTTGGGCGGCTACTGCGAGAAACCGAACACCATGATGGAGACCAAAAATAAGTATGCTAAGCCAGGCCAAACCTATTCAAAGCGATGATTGGTGAATGCACCTGGTCCATTTGGACAGCTCCAGGGGTTGTCTAATCAGACAGGTTCAATGACCGATCGGAATCATATTCCGTTCCACACCATAATTTCAGCAAAAAAAAGGCTGAGGGAGAAGGCATTTAGCACTTATGTTGCGAATTCCATGTTGAGGTTTTCGAAGTCGCTGAAATCGGGTCGGGCGCTTTTTCCCTAGGGAGATTCAATGTTTGGCTTCACGTCTTACCTCTGGGAGTCTTCATATTCAAGTCTTACGTACTCCGTAGAATTAAGTGCCAAGTCGGAAGGATTGATGAAGGAGCCGATGAGGATTCATTGTGTGATCGTTGGGAATCCTATTAACGTTGGTAATAATGGGGGCCTTTTCAGGCACCAACTTCCAAGCAACTCTCCTGGACGATTTTCCTGGTGACCTTACCATGCAAGTCATAAAAGTGAAAGGGGTGCTTTGATCGATATAAAGATGAACACGCAGCCGAAGACGACCAGCGACACCAGAGAGCGCAGGATACGAATAGTATAATAGTAAATTTCCGACGGTTATAAGCCTATATTCGCCCTACTGGTAGGGTGGTATCTCCGTCCAGACAGGAATTGTGAGTAGTAGCAATTGCACACACCGGTGGAAGAACGACCATCGATTCCAGAGGACACGAACGAGGGGAGGGAAATCCTAACATGGTCCTGGCTGAGCGCTGTCAGCCCACCCACTACCCACTGCATCCATCCCCGGCCTGCCTTTGACTTGGAGCCGCTGGAGGTTGTGATCGGGCCAGGGACAATGTCACAGCAGCGCCGCGCGAAGCCCACAGGGATGGCCAGATGGCGGGTGGATTACGTATGCAGCCGCCATTGTTTAGGGCTGGATGGCTATCATTCCGAGGTCACCTTGGACTCAACGACCAACATTGCAACATCCCGCCGTCCAATCTCCCCACCATCACTACCGGACACAGCAATCGGAGTCTCGAAGCTCATCCGTCAGCAGACCTGTCACGGGCAGAAGGCGGGGAATAGCCTAGAGCACTGTTTGTGGTTCACGCAAACGGCTGCGTATTGAAACACCCTTGCTCCTTTTCACTGCACAACTTATATCGCTGCTGGTCAGTCGGCCGCGGATCCTCCGAAAAGGACCAACATTGCCGACCTTTGACGAATTCCTTGGGGCCCTCCTTCGGAGAGGGGTCGAACAATCTAGCCACGCTCTAGACCTCGACGCGGGGCACCAACCATTGGCAGCCAGTTGAACCACTAGCCAGAGCCCTCATGGGACCATGAGTCCATGACCTGGCGCTCTGGTGTCCGTGGCGTCCGATCTACTGCACGCCTGCGCCAAACCCCGTCTGTTGGATTTTAATTCTATCCTTAACATCCGGCCATTGGATGGGGTGAATCCAGCCAAGCGTGCGGATACTCAGGTTCATTCCTCAATAAAAGTGTCCAGGCCAAAGACTCAAAACTCTGCATCGCGACACATTTTGCTTTGAAAGTTGACTAATAAGATTTCAACGCGATTCCCGCAGTGGATTGCATCCGGAAACCATTGAGCTTTCAACCCGTGGGCCTCAAAGCTGACATTCCCCCGAAGCAAAATTCAGGGATGTTGCCGTGAGAGCTGCTACGTTGAGTCGAAAAAGAATCGCATGTGTGATGTGGCAAGCTGCAGCGGATTGCTTTTGAGCTTCAATCCAATTGCTCGGATAGATTTGTGAATCCGTTCTTCTCTTTATTTATCGTTCTCTCGCATTTCGTCCCAGATTCTCTGGTGGTGCCTTGTTTTAAAAAATTATCAAAGTTGTAGAATATTATTTTGCAATCTATTCTCGAACTCCTTTCGCACTTCCCCAGTTCAAAAGCACACGGGACTGGTTTTGCCCCACCCCCAACATCAAGTATATAGTGCACCTCCTCTCCCGCTCTTCCCTTGACTGAGAGCACTTTGCAACTGGACACTTGTCAGCTTCCGATCGTTTCACCATACGAGACCTCTGTCGAACACTCGTTATTTCTCCTTCCGCATTTGATTCAAACAGCATACAACTCTCTCATTTCACTAGCCCCATATATCGATTTTGCAGCTATCCTCTCGGGTCCTTCGCTATGGGTGTCACAAAGAACGTGCTTAGGAACGGTAATGGAGTCAACAAGCCCACGACAGGTGACGAAGTTGTGATCGACTATACAGGATGCCTCTATGACCCTACAGCCGCCGATAAGCATTTTATGGGAGACGAGTGAGTTTCGCAATCGATTTAGGGAAACGAAAGACTTATGGAAGCACGAGGAAAGGGCAAAAAATGAAAACCGATCTTACACTGACCGTTTAAATCCGGAATAGGTTTGATTCGTCCAAAGATAGAGGAGACTTTAAAACCACAATCGGCATTGGAAAGGTCATTCGAGGTATTTGCGCCATTTCTCTTGTTTTGGGTGGCTAGCTATGCTTCAAGCATGCTAGATCACGAGCCACCTTCTCCGAAAAGGATATCAACGCTCTGGCAAATTCCCGGCTGACACTTGAACCTAAGGATGGGATGAGGCGGTTATGAATATGACACTCGGCGAAAAAAGCATCCTAACAATCAGCGGGTGAGTCGTCCCGTTTGCCGAGCCGTTTTGAATCTTTACTGTAAAAGAATGCATCATTTCATCCAATTGTCATCATTTCATGGAAAGCGAACGTTTAGCTAATAATTTCCGTTTTGGATTTTGTGCTACAGAGACTATGCGTACGGAGACCGGTATGCTTATTTTATTGTCTGATCCCTGTGCAAAAAGTAACCAGAAATAGATTTGGATGAATGAATAAAATATTACCCCAATTTCGTCTCTATTAATTACCTGCGAAGGTGTAACTTGGGATGACCCTGGCATTCAAAGAAATGGGGACTTCAAGCTTCTTATCAGATCACTGACTGTTTGTTTCATTGCCACCTGCTAGTGGCTTCCCAGGGCTCATCCCTCCAAACTCGACTCTTGTTTTGTAAGTACTGGACAGCCGTGGAGCGTTTCTCACCTATTCTTATGCCACTTTTGCCATTGCCATTTTGCGTCCCTTTTTTTTTTTTTTCTTTTTTTTTTCCCTCACCGCTCTTGGTGCCTGAATCTTGTCTGAATAATTACTACCTAAGCTTTGGTTCCATCCCGCCTGCGGCAGACCACCCACCTATCTGGGTTAACCTTCCTGCAGTGGCGACTTGCGCCCTCTTCCATATTCGAAAGTAGCCTCACACTATCTGACATTGTATTTCTTTTTTTGCCCTCCCCAGATGTAGCCAGCCAGCCAAAACAAGACAATACTGATCGAGCTGACGCACTGTAATTCACAACAGCGAAGTCGAACTCAAGGGCATCAATAATATACGGGCATCATAATTGAGGCGATGGTGTAACACCAACCCGGCAAGGGAGCCTTCTCGAATGTTTCCCGAAGCCATTCTCCTCTTAAAGATCAACAACATTAATTATCCATACCCCGCCTACTACTTCCGTCACACTTTTTTGCGTCACACCTAAATTCCGTGGCACCATACCATACCTTCGTTTCTCGTTGCTCGTTGCTCGTTCCTCGTTCCTCTTATGTTCCCTGATCCATCGAAACAAATAACCTAATCAGAGACAGCAAACTATTTATACTTTTGGCTTGCAAAGACAAATCTGCTTGATCCAAAAAGATGCCATGGAGGGACGGGGCAGACCCAATGCGGCGCACCCCAGCTGACGATAACGCTCCTCAGAATGGTGGGGTTAGTGCCCCCCCGAATGCCCCAGCCATGGCTCTGCTATACAAGTTTTCGCCTTCTTGTCTCCCAAAAGGGTCATCGAATAAAGGTGTCGTGGGGCCTTTATTTTGTTATTTTTATTTTTTCGTTTGTTTGTTTTGTTCTTTTTTTTTTTTTTTTTTTTTTTTTTTTTTTCCAAAGGAGTACTCTGCGAGTCTTCGATTTTGAGGACAAAAGAATTCGATTATTTGGGAAAGCGGCAAAGCAAAATATAAGGGAAAACAAAATTGGGGTTGGAGGATCCATTGTTTTTTTGTCAAGTTCTTTATTCTTTTCTTTGCATTTTTCCTTTCACTTTTTCTTGATCTGGTTCTTGGCCCCCTTCATAGTTCTAACTTTTCATGACTTTTTGAGGCCTGCCTCTTCGGGACATGGCATATCATCTCACGGCTCTCCCCCACCCTGCTTCACCCGGTGCAGAGGATGCTGTCTTTTCTTCTCCCACTCTCGTCATTGCAGCACCATGATAGGTATACTTCCTGCTTCCCCTTGCGTTCTGCCCGTTAGCGATGGATTTCCTCATTTATGCAAACTACTTTGTCACCACTGCAGCTGTCGCTCATCTCCTCCTGCATTCACAACCTGTCTGGCCTAGGACTCGACTCTGTGGCCTGCACGTTTTTATATCCTACGTTCCTCCCCTTCACTCTCACTCTCGTCTTGCGATGCGCGGGCAATACTGTATCTTGCCCAAATGCAATCCTGCCTCCCATCGCTGTCTCAGGTGCTACTCGTGTGATGCCCGATGGTGGAGTGGTCTCTGAACCCAACAGTATGCCCAGAGCACAATTGCTGGCGGCCAAGGCATTGCCAGGCCCGTCACACCTCCCCCAAGATCTACCAATAACCAAATCGCGGAAGATGGAGCCGTTGAAGGTGACATAAGAGGTTGTTTTGGTTTTTGTGTTTGTATATGTGCGTGTTTGTGTGATGGCTAATTTTTCCCTAGCGCAACGAAAGGCATTAAGAGCCAAGGTTCACATGAGGTGCCCGCCCCAGCGTCTCCAGACGGGCACGTTTGCAACCGCCAACATCCAGTCCTCATCTTTAGCCAGTCCTGCCGCTATCCTCAAGTAGTCTTGCTTCAAGGTGGTAGGATCTACACAGCACATTGTCAGGGATCTGGAACAGCCATTCGCCCAATGGCCGCGCAGTTGGTGAGCAGTTACACCCGCAGATTGCATTGGATAGACACGGCAGGGGATTTTCAAGGAAAACTGAAGCCCATGATATATGATTGGTAGTTAACGTTAGTTGATGCGCCTGCTCTTTTGAAAGGAGGGTGGGGGGTATGTGTTGAATTTCTCTGCGAAGGCCTCCATTTACTCTTTTTACTTTTACTTACTTTTCTAATTTTTTTGGTGGCCGTATCCGGTCGATTCTATTCCACCAACCTACCATATCTACTAATATAATTTACTTCAAGATTACATATTTCCAAATGTTTCTATCATTCCTTTTCCGCCTCCGCTTTCTTCTTAACCCCACTCTTCTCTTAACTAGTTTGCATCGGTATAGCAGCAGCAGCAGCAGCAGCATTGGAGGCCCTTGCTGACCCTGAGCCATCAATGTGCTCTCTGCCCCTTATCTCATCTGGCGCCATGGCTAGGTACGTATGCCGTCTTGAGCATATCGGGGCATCCGGTCAGCGTCTGGCCTCGGGGTTGTTGCGTCGGACGGATGGGGGTAAGTTGCGGGAGGGAGACAGGGGAGGAGAGCGTCCATGAAAAAAAAAGCGCGCGACGAACTTTCCACGCTGGTGTGTTTTCTACGTAAAGCCAACCAATCGATCAATCAATCAATCAATCTAATATTTTTTGTCAATAATGGGGGCCGTAAATGGTAGCTAGCCATGCATAGACTTGGATTAGCGGTGGGGATTTTTTTTTTTTTTTTTTTTTTTTTTTTTTTTTAATTGTTTTTATAAAGGGGGGAAGCGGGGAACTTTCACACAATGTCCGACACTGCTTCATGCCGTCGTCCCAGTCCATATAATCGCGAGTCGCAAGTCCAGAAAGGCCAGTGTGAACCTGAAATCATTCGCGGAAAGTATATGTTCCTCTGCCATCGAGCATAAAAGCGCTCTCACGTAAGCCCACCATAGTTAGAAATGAATACTACTTATAATATCTATATCAATATCTATATGGAGGACTGAAGGGGCCTTTGGGTTGGGGACTCAATTCTGGTGTGTGTGTGTGTGTGTGTGTGTGTGTCTGTTTAATACAGGCCAGTCGGGGAATGAATGGCGCTTTTTGCACCTTTTTGTTTGTTTTCTTCCTGCGGCTTATACATGTAGCTATTGAAGATACACATGTTCGGATGGGATGGTATGTAACGCAGGCGGAGGGCGGAAACCAGAATGAGAAAGAAAGAAAAAAAAGACGTGGAGAGTAGAAGGATGAACAAGCTCGTACTTTTTCTCTACTGTATTCTATTATAGCTTTCAAAATCCCATTCATTTTCGTCATTTATTTCTATGTTTTATGTTTTTTCTGCTGTCTCGTGAAACTAAAATAGTAATACTAGACATCGGTAGAAACAAATAAAATAATAAGAATGGGGAAGTGGTAAAATGTAAAATGTAAGTGGAATGCAAAGAAGAAAGAATGAGGATAATAGTCGAAGTCAGTTGATGTTGAGGCATACGAAATACAGGAAAGGGATTGGGAGGAAGCAATATGGAAGGTGATAAGTGAGTGATATGGGAAAGCCAAAAACAAACAATGAACCATATATAGGGAGGTATATATATAAATCTTGACGGGCTGGAAACCCCAATGGTCCGGACATTGAATCGATGGAATGAACTGAACATATTGGAGGTAAAGAATAGAAAAAGACCGTATAATTGATCGGTAATATGCACAAGTCTTGCGTGGGTGTGGGTATTTGTACATGTGTATTTTTTTTTCTTTTCATTCATATAATATAATAGATAGCGTGTTAGGGAAAAAAAGCATAGCATAGTTATAAGGGGTTTAAAAAAAAACTAAGTGATTATGTTTTGAAGAAAGGACAAAAAAATAGGAGAGGAAAGAAAATCGAAGGGAAAAAATGAAGGATTGATTTGGGATCTAATTTTGTCGTCCTTCCTTTCTTCCCTCCACCCCCTTTTTCTTGTTTTCTTTCGTTTGCTCTTTTTTCTTTTGGTCTTCTCCGTCTTTGCTTTCCCTCTTCCTCCTCCTCTTCCTTTCCTATTAACCAAGGGCGAAACGGAAATGGTTGCTTTCGTTAGATTAGTTTGAAAGCGGCAGGTCGAAGCCACAAAAATGCCGCACTGCAGCTTTGCGACGCAACAATTTGCCGTGTCGCGTATCGCGATTAGACCAATTCTAATTGAAAGAGAAACCAACCAATCACGGCTGAAGAATAAAAGAGACGAGAAAGTTTTACAAACGAAGAAGGCAAAGAAATAAAACAATGAAAAGAAAGGAACAAAAAAAAAAAAGTGTCCCTAATTCCACCCAAGCGAGTTCTCAGTCATGACAGGCGCGCTGATCATTTGATTCCGTCCACTGCCTGAGCCACTGCTGTGGCTATCTCGTGTGGCATATGGGGATGGGCTGGTATATCCATCCGTGCGACCACCACTCATCAAAGCATCAGTGGCAGTCGGTACAGGAGGGGGGGAAACAGCCACACCAATCTCGCCCATGCCGCTTGTCAGTGAGCTTGTGCGGCGGTGGAGCTTGCGCTTCTTGCGGTACCGGCGAGCTACGAAGAACATCGCAGCGCCGTACATTGCCGCGCCACCAACGACGCCAAGACCGATTCCGACGGATGTGGCCTTGACGTTGGAGGATCCGCCTGAACCGCCAGGTCCTTCGGCTTCGTCATCATCTCCGCCAGAGCCGGAGCCGCTTTTACCATTACCTGGGCGATCGGTAGAGCTACCGCCGCCGCCTGGGCCATACGTTTGCTGATTAAGTGGGCCACCTCCCGGGATGAGGGGGATGGACGGGTCAATCATGGACATGAGCTTGGCGATGGACGGGTCAGGGTTCTGGTACAGGCGCGAATAGGGGCTATGGATTTGGAGGGATAATTCGTTGACCAGGTCCTCGGGGATATACATCAGGACCAATGTAGGTGTGTACATACGTGATTGTAGCGTGTCATAAGGTTGGATGGAATGCGCCTTGACAAGATCCAATGATATTTGCAAACCGAAGCTAACGCCCTTGGGAGTGAACGTAAAGATTTGAAGATTCGAAGCCCCGTTTGAAACGACAAACTCATACGAGAGTGAGCTGTTGAACCCGACCTGAATCAATCTCGAATCAGCTGGTGCTTTGGGAACGCCCATCTCGGGAGAGATAATTCGAGGAAGGGCGGTGGGCTTATTCGTTTCCGATGGGTTTGGTGGGACTAGGGTCGGTTGGAAGACAATGCTTGTCGGAACAATCATCGAGGTCAACGAATCCGTAGATATTGGCTTATCAGATTCCGTTGACGGCGGTGCCGGTGGCGGTGAGATTGTCGGAGACGGCACAATGGTAGAGTTATTAGGCGGAACCCATCCTGTTGGGCGATCTGTCGGATTGGGGAAAACGCCAGACGGAGTGGTAGTCGGGGTGGGTATCACGATAGTGCTGCTACTGTCGGTCGGGATCGGGGTCGTGGTGTCTGGGGGCAACTCTGTGGCTGTTGGGAAAGGCGGGATAGTGGAATTGCCAGGGACCGATGTGATGGGCAACGACTGGGACAGTGTCGGGGGTGGTGTCGAGGATGATGGCGGGGATGGTGTCGGGGTTGGCGTAATTATTGGTGGAATGCTGAGCGTGGGAAGGCCCAGGGTGGAAGTGGAGGTAGGAAGCGGTGTCAAATCTGTCATATCCGACCTAGTGCTCGAAGAGGTAGATGATTCGCTTCCTGGAGTGGTCGATGGCTCTTCACTTGGGAACAGAGTTGGAAGAGAAAGAATTGGGCCATCTGTCGTTCGGCTTGGGGTTTCGGTCGGTGTTTCGCTGGGTGTTTCGGTGGCTGTTTCGCTGAGTGTCTCGCTGGCTGTTCCGCTGGCTGTTTCGCTGAGTGTCTCGCTGGCTGTTCCGCTGGCTGTTCCGCTGGCTGTTCCGCTGGCTGTTTCGCTGGCTGTTCCGCTGGGCGTTTCCCTGGGTGTTTCGCTCGCGGTTTGAGTTGCCGTGTCGCTATAGCTCGGGGTGCTGGCAGTGCCATCAACAAGAGGTGAAGAGGGAGTATCGGCGTCCGGAAGCTTAAGTGATGGAAAGCCATCAAACAAAGGTTTCGTGCTGCTAGATGGGGACGGAGACGGAGTCGGTGTCGGTGTCTGAGCCGGGAAGCCTGTCTGGGCAACCTTCTCATATGAGACTCCTTGTGTTCCCGAGACCGAAACCGACGGAGCAGAAAATACATTTGGTGGCCCGACATTGATTCCGCCGAAGGGGTTTGATTCAGGGGTATCTTCAGGGTCTTCATTTCCCGAGCCGACGGTTGCTGTAGGCTGTTGATCCCCGAGAGTGAATCGGGTTCCTTCGGGATCTACGTAGACAGTTACAGGGACTACGACGACAGTAGTACCTGGATTGACTTGCGGAGCGCGCTTTTCTACAGGAGCAGCAAAGCCATAGTCGCGATTCACTTCTCGTGGGAAGTAGTACTTTGGTCCATATGCTACACCGGCTTTAGCGGCTTCGCAAATGGGAGTCACCGACAAAATGGCCGCCAGGATCGAGGATATTGTGACCCGCATATTGACGGTAGGCGCAGTTAGGCTAGCGCTTTCTCGATATTTATTGATATCGCGAACGGGTTCAGCCTTCAATGGAAGAGTCAATCAACACTGCAATATCCGGATTAGATACTACGACACCAGACACGAATTCGGGAAGGATATTTTACAATTGTCTTTCGGCGAGATAGAAAAGAGCGAATAACGACAAAAAGTCGCCCGAATGTTCGTGTTTCTATCCATGGGTTAGCATGCGTGGCATATTTTATAGATATATCAAAAAGCAACCAGAAGGAGCCAAGATCAGCAGGCACATCTGAATGTGATTGAATCGGATTTAAAGAACATTCAACAACATTCAATTGCAACACACGGGTGAAATGATCAGTAGGGGGAAACGCTAAGAGATAGTAAAAATGCTTACCGATCAAAGGAGTGGAAAGGGACAAAAATCCCCCAGGAAAAAGAAAACGAAAAAAAAAAATAACCTAAGGAGCGACGAGGAAGCCGAAAGTTTCAGCTTCCTGGAACAAAAGTCAGGCAGGATGCAATAATGCTACCTACCGCCTCGCTCGTCGTGGTGGTAAATGGAGGAAATCAAGCAAAAATTCGACAAAACTGCCTGGGCGCAATGTGGACGGTTCGTCTCCCGTTTGTTTTCAAAGATTCGGTGCTTTCTTCCCAGCGCCCTAGGTTGTCATATTCCAGAGCCAAAGCAAGGGACTCATAGAACAAGGGTTATGGGGATGTGTAATTGAAACTTCGTGGAGAAACCACGCAGTCGATTTGTTATCGAGCGAGACCTTTAGATCCGATCCAGCTTCACCGGGTAATCTGCGATAAATATTCGCTATAAATATGAATCGATATATCGATTATATGATCGACCTCGTCCGGTACGATAGACCAAATAACAACGTTTCCCAAAGTACTTGTCTTTTATATATTTTTTCTCTTGACCTTTTTTCTCCTTATTTCACACGGTCTACAGGTCGAAAAAAGTGGCTTTTCCCGGTCAAAAATATATTCAGAAAATATACAGATATATATATATATCAAAATATTTTTTGACCCGAGCAGGAAGATGGAAGAGAACGTGATGGGACCGGCAAGGAATGCAGATGCCCTTTGGGAAGAATGCGGACGACAGATATAATGATAATTCAGCTATAAAGATCGGGGGTGTGGTGAAACGAGCGGCACCAAAAGGACCATTGGCAGAGAAATGGCTGGCGACGATGACAGTTGAAAAGGGTACGGAGGAGATCTATATGCACATTTTGGTGACCTCTGGAGTCAGTAGTTTTGTTTATTTCATGATTATTTCATCTTTGTAGTTGAGATTTGCTATTTATATCATCGCGCAAATTGGAGGGAGGAGGGGGGGGGTTTGTGGAGGAGTCAAAAAGGGGGAGACAACAACGCACGAAAAAGGGATTGTCAGTTCTCAAGAGGTCGCTAGGAGGGAGGGGAGGAGAAGAACGACTGGTCTGTCGACAGTCGACGTTGAGGATGGCGACGGAGGAGAGGGAGAAGAGGAGAGACGAAGGGAGAGACGAGGAGAGGAAGAACAGAAGCAGATAAGGAGAGACAAAGAGTGAGATGGAGGAAGTCCACGAAGCGGGAAGGGGGAAGCCGGGCCCTGGACTGCTCGTTCCATACCGTACAGAGTGCATACATACATACATACATACATGCATACATACATACATACATACGCAGTACGGAGTCCGATAACTTGGCTGCAAGCCACATGGGGTACTCCGTACAGTAACCCCATACCGCGTACACACCCAATACACATCGTACACGTCCACTGCCCTCTGGCGCCGCCCGCCGCACGCCGCCCGTCCCCACGCCCAGGCCCACTTGGCTCGCTTGGCCCACGCTGGCCCACGCCGGCTAGTCGCAACGGGGTCTAGGGCTTAGGCCACGCTGCTACTGAGATTATGCCCATGCCGGGGCCTCTGTTACCGATGTACTGTACTATAGTATGTTCTATATGTATGTTATACGCAGGTAACTTCTTGACCATTGTAACTGTGTAATAACTCTTACAGCCGTTCCCACACTGGCGTACTTGTATTTACAGCGCATTAACTCCAAAACAGAACGGGAAACATTTTGGGTTCAGGAACAGAAAGGCTAAAAACGCACCAATCTCGCGGGCACAAGACACCAGACATAGGTGGATGAAGCATGATGGAGCACGGAGGTGCCAGACTGCCAGTGGGGCTCCTCAAAGGCTCAAAAAGCGCTAGTCTGTTAGTTGGGACAAGCCCCCAGATGCTAATAATATTTCCTCCGCGAACTTGGCAGGATATCGGTAATTAAATAGATTGGCGATTGAGGTTGCCCATGGTCCAGGTGCGGGTGAGAGATGCTTGGATCCGTGGGTGCTGGGACTGTAGTCGCCATGGATCAATGATTGATGAACTCCAGGTTCGAGAACCGCCTTCAAGAGTAGATAGATACTGGTATGGGACTCTCTCTCTCGCACTTCTCCTCCTCCTCCCTGACTGACTGGCTAACTCCTGCCATCGTACAGAATAGTTTATCATGAGTTCAAACTCATTCCTGCTGGCACTGAGCAGGCGTTCAATTTTCGGGTTGTGATTAGTGCCTTAATGGCGCGCCCACGCCTCGCCCACGCCTCGGAGATCTCAGACCAAGATGCGCGCCACTGGCCCTTGTCAACGGATGTTTTACCTGTCCGGAAGAAGTGGATGGGAACAGGAACCAGGGATGTCGTCAGAAGAATCATCATAACCCTCTGCATGGCAATCTAGGCACAGCAAGGCAACCTTGGAACACTCTGTTTCTTGCCATCAAAGAGAGATTATTTACGATGGATTTATTTGTGGTGTATCCCACTCAATTTTGGATCACTATCACGCTCCAGGTATTCCGTGCAAGTCGGAAAGAAAACCGGCTCCGATTATTCCCTAACGAGAAAGTGTTTTTATCTTTTCTTTTCTTTTCTTTTTTCGTAAGGTTCGTTTCTTTCTTTTTTTCTTTGGCATATGTCGATCGATGGAGGCTGAAGCTTGAAAGGTTGATTGAATCGAGCGCAGACCCTTTTTTGTACTCCGTATTCATTCTTTCTCTCTTGTCTGATATTAAATTTCACGATAGCGCAAGTTCGGGAAAGTCGCTTTTTCTAAACTTCCTTTCCAAAATAGGCGCTTGGTTTCCGCCGTTGTAACTTTTTTTTTTTTTTTTGGCATTGCATTGCATTGCAGATCCTCCCCCTTTTTGTTTCTCTCCTTGCCCTGCACACTCGTTAGATTCTGTCGATCGCGATCGAAGAAAGGAAAAAATTGTCGACTTTTCCCAGGCCCAGAACCGCGGCTCAATAAAGAAGAGAAATAAAAAGAAAAGAAAGCTGTCAGGGGAAACGGAAAAAAAAAAGGACACTTGTGGCTTCTTAGAAAGGAGAACCCTCATGTATCCTGGAGATGCTACCCTAATGCCATCGGTCTGTGAACTGGCGACCCTTTGAAATTAGAGAATTTCACAGACTCTCTTTCTATTTTTAAAGAAACAAACAAAACAGCAAGGAAGAGGAGGCGAAGTACTCCTGTAGAACTCGATGATGTTCTATATTTAGACCGTCCCTTCGTTGATCAACAGAGAGATCTTGCAGAGTAGATCTCCAGGCCAGATCTCAGAGCAGATCTCAGATTACAGATTCAACTCACTCATTCATTCATCGTCGTTATTCATAATTGCTCCCGTCTAAACGGCGGATCTGAAAACAAAACGAAAAAAAATTAAAAGGAACCTCATGGCTATCTGTCGGAACTGGATAAAGTCCGAATATTGACCCAAATACTGAATATCAAAATAGAAAAAATAGAATATTGAATTGATTATTATTACTCCGATAATTACATGATAAGTAGGCAGTATTTATAAGGAAGGATATGCTTGATTATACAAGCGGGGCAGTGCTCTATCAAACATTCTACACTTCAATTATGCAGTTAATTGTTCAAACTTTTAAATAATATAACTATTGATTTTGATCACATCATCTCAGTTCTGCTCATAATGCGCAGAAAGGCAATTTCGAAGAAGGCGAAGCAAAATAGCAACAAGGCAGATTATAGCATGATGTCATATCTGATCCTTGATATACGAGATATCAGCTCCGACACTATCTCTGCCCTTGAGGACTTACTCCGATCCCTCGCACCACACGGAATCTATGTGTCTGCTTCATGCATCCGTAACTATCTTCCTGTTCTGGATAAGATAATTATGGCAGCTCGATTCAGCTGCACACATGAATTCTCGTTTTATATATCTAAATATATCTATATGTATAGTTATCTCAGTATATCTATATCTATATCTATATATTTCCGAATAAGAAATTCTACCAAGACATCAAAACAGTTTCATGCAGGAACAGACAACATGCAGGAACCGCAGCGAACGACAGGAACACGTTCATGCATTGTGAAACAAAGGACCAGGGGAGCAATGGTAAGAATAGCACCCCAGCAACCATGCACGACCGCTTCGTTTATCTGAGCTGAGAATTCTGAGAAATCAAGAGTTGAGGTGATGAGAACAACACAAAATCCCGCCAAGCTGCTCATCGAATCGGGGCGCGTGGAATGCCGACCTTTCTTTTTCTCCAGTACGGAGTACTCCGTACTCCAACCGAAGTTCAATCGAAAAGAAATAAAATGAGCTGCTCGTATCTCGTGTTGTTTCTTGTCCTACCAAGGAGCTCTCGCGCGGAGCTCTTCCTCTCCTGGCATCGTCTCATACATACCTAGCGAGCTGCAATAGCCTTATAACCTCATGGTGATACCGTACCGTACCGTACACTGTGCTGCCATTCTTAGCACGTACGCTGGTTACACGGGGGTTTTCCTCTGTACCTTAGTGAAACGCCAAGATTGCTGGTTTGGGTTCAGTATCGAGGTACGAGATTTTTTTTTTTTTTACGTTACCATTTCGGTCCTCAGCCACAGTTTGTAGCGCTGGATGAGAATCTCAAAACGACGGACGGAGTTCCAAGACGGACAACAACAAACAATGAACATGTGTCCTTTTGAGGCTTGAACACGCGGGGAATGGTTGCTGCTGCGTGAGGCGGCTCAACTGAGAAAATGACTGGCGCTTATCTTCGACTTATGAGAGGCGCAGAGGTGTTTTTTATCGCCAGAACGCGAATGTTGGGCGCCAATATCAATACGAAGCATTTGGGCAGTGTACAGATTAAGGAACCCACTTCTTTATCCTGAAGTCTTATTTCTTCAAAAATCGTTAGTTATGTAGACTATGGTAGCATAGTATATGTGCGATGGAGGTTTTCAATCGTCCCAGGCCATGCCCATCCGCAGCAACTTGATACAACCACTCTGCCAAAATAATAACGTAACAGACAGGAACAAAGTGAAAGGAAAATACAGGGAGTTGAGGCTAGATGGGAGGAGAAAAGAGAGGGAGAGAAAGAGAGAGAGAGTGTGTGTGGATGTTTGTATGTGAAGATCAAAACAGACAAGAAACAACATCACACCAGAAAATAAATCCAGCCTGGAGGAAACCAACTCCGTCGCTCCTCTCTTTTCAGTTAGTTTACCCCTGAGAATCCACCCTTGAAAGCAGATTGGAACCTATAAAAGGCCCCAAATTTTCAGCCTTGTAAGCAAATGGACGAGTTAATCATCATTATCAACCTCCCGGAACCTTGCTTGTAGGGGTGATCGGAAGTGTCGAGGGATTCTTCGCGCAAGCAACCCTGGTCGATAGTTCGTATGGTTCCTGGAGCCAGCGGTCGCGTTGGTGATGGTTTTGTCTTAGTTGCTTGTGCTCATGTCGACGTGTCCAAGAGCTCACATTCTCATCTCAAGTCATGAGAAAGCACAACTGCCCAAGATATTGAAATGGCGAAAGGATGGTTGTTGATTAGACCATGTACCCCTGGTCTTATCATGGAAAATGGGAGAGGGAAAAACAGAAAAAGAACTGTAATGTAATGTAATGCATAAAATGAAAAATAGTAGTGAGATAATGGAAACTATCCCAAATTTAATATATATTTGCATGGGTGCACTACCTTGTGAAGGTCAGCGCCCAATTTCCAGAGGGTGTGGGGGAGGATTAGAGAAGAGCTCAACATTATGATTTACCAACCCCAGTTTTCCTTTATTCGTCTCCTGTTCACTCACAGACCTAGGCGAATATGCCCTGTACCTGTCAACGATGATTGCCCTTATCCTGACACCTCAAAAGGAATAAATGATAAGAAAAGGGCTGGCGTTTACGGGCCTGCCCTTCATCTCCCTTCCAACCCTGTGAACCCCTGCGGGCCTAGGCCATCCTGCCCACCTGTGCGGAAATACTCAACAACCACGCCCAGAGCATAGCACGTTCCTGCTGCGACCCCGCCTGTTAATAAAATACGACGCAGGGCTTTGCGCAGGAACGGATGTGCCTTTTCGCTTTTGGGAGGATTGAGTGTGGAGAGCTCTCCCTCCTGCTGCTGTTGTTGCTTTGTTGTGTCAGAATCGAAAGACGACACGATCCCTTGATCGAAAACATGGGAGGCTTCTCGACCGGTCGGGTTGCCCTTGAAGGTCTCGGATGATTCAATTTGATCGACAACTTCATTTCCAAGCTGCGCTGCCTGCACTGGAGAATGCACCGTATCACCCCCGTCACCATAAGCATCACTGCTATTCTGCTTCGCTGCGGTAACATCTGGAATGGATGTTTCTAAAGTCCTAGCCACATGTTCCCCATCATCAACCAATTTCCCTTCACTCCCCTTTACCTTCTTGAAAATGAGAATATCGCCGCCACCAGAGACAATTTCAAACCCCTGTGCTTCTAGGCGGGGTAAATGCTCGAGGAATCGCGAGGGGTTGCTGAGGCGTGAAAGCGCTTCTGTAGGGTGTAGCAGTTGTGCTATCTCCCCTGAGCCTGAATGGCCAGCCGAGATACCCATCTCTTTCACTTCCATTGTTAGGGAGTCGTAGGCTAGGATTCGGTATTGAGAGGGGTTGGAGCGCGAAGAGCTGTTTTTCGCTTCAACGTTCTGATCCAAAGGCGACCTTTCTGCGTCTTCTTCCCTAGTAGATTTCTTTCGCTGCACGTCTTCACAAAGCTCCGCTAAGATTGAAGCCATGGATGTGTTGACGTTTTTGACATCGCTTAGTATCTCGCTAATTTGGGCTACTTGCGTCTCGCGCTCTTCTTTCGCCATCCTCTCCGATGGGGCGACAGAAAGTACGTCAGCTGTTGTACCAGATGGACTATGTTGTCCCGTCAAAAGTGCATTCATCGAGACTGTGGCCTCTTTGATTTCTCGAAGCTCTCTTGCTATATTACCAATTTCACGGTGCCGGTTCGCATCTATAGTTTTTATTCCAAAGATAGGATGGATCCCATCACGTTTAGAACTACTGACAGTGGTAGATGCATCATCAACACCGTCAACGTTGCACATATGGGTGACTTTGCTACGTTCTGTCCCCGCGGTGTCATCGCGAAATAGCAAGTTCATCTCTTTCTGTACAGGTTCTGTTGCTTCTGTTACAGTAGAAACGGAGTCTCGGCCAGTTTCTACTTTGCTAACAGTTCTATTGTCTTGACGAAGTTTCCAACGCAGATCGTCGACGTCCAAGCCACAATCGGCATCCTGAAGAGCTCCGTAAGCCTCTTCGATACCATGTCGCTCTGCCCAAGTTTTGTAAGAGGCACGAATGTCGCTGGCACGCAGCTGATCCACATTTTCTTCTGTTCGACTGTCGTCACGAATATCATACGCTTTTTGATAAATTTCGCAGAGAGGTGATGCGTTGGGACCTTCAAGACTCTCAAGATATCGCAAATAGTCAGAATGAGACATCCCCTCTAACTCCTTGGGAAGGCGTCCGCTATTCTCAATGGACTTCTTCGCTTTGGCTATTAGATATTGATGTGATTGCCAGTCAGACGCTTGGACATCCTCATCCTCTTCGCCGAGTGGAGAAGTTTTGTGCATCGGCGTTTTATTTTTTGCGCCAAACGTAGTTGCGTTTGCTTCTTCGCTAGTAGAAGCAAGGACGGCCGCACTTGCTGGCTTTTCCGGTTCATTCAAGGCCCACCCATCTGATTTGACAGTATCTTTGACCCCCTTTCCAAGTGCTGTTTCTGCAGAGTCAGGCTGATTTGACTCAGATACTATCTGTTCCGTGTCAATGCTCTTGCCTACATTGGCAGAGTGTGCCTCAGTTGTATCATTATCGGTAACGCTCATGTTCGCTGCAGGCTGCTTAGTTTCAATGGTTCCAGGTCCCTCCGTATCGAGGGTTTGGGATGATTTCAAATCAGTCTGGTCGTTCGCATCATTAGGCGATATCATTTTACTCGAGACACGGTGCTCCGGTTCAAGGACAAGTGGCTCTTCTATATCGACGTTTGGTTTCTGATTGGAGTTTTCTTGCTCATCGCGAGTTTCCATTTCCGCTTCGCCATCTCGCGGATTTGAAATTATCATTGGAGAAGAGTCATCGGCCTGGTTGGAAGTGGTTGTATTCCTCGCAGGAACCATCCTACCACTGATGGGATCGAATTCAAATGCGGCGTCTGTCACAATGTTGGATGATGGCAAACGATTGTCATTGATATTGATCTCAGACGAAGTTTCTATTCTTGATCCCGCTCCTTCTTCTATCGGAGAATTTCGTATATCCGCTGGTGAGCCTGGACGGGGTCTACTGTCCGTGGGATATTCACCAGCAAACAATGAGTGATAGAACGATGACCAAGATCCGTGTTTCAAACCGAATGGAAACGGCTGCAGTCTCCCGAATATGAATCCATAAGGATCGCGATTGACAGCTTTTTTAAATTCCTCAAACCATTTCTCACACTCGAGTCGCATGGACTCGCCAAATTCGTGCTCTTTGCCACCCCAAGAGTCGAAGCTGTTTTTCCCTCCAGGGCTTTTGGAGTCCTCGAATCCATTGTCAGGCGGACTCTCCTTCGCCAACCAAGATTTCTCTCCCCTGTTCCCTTTCCCCATCCCTTGCGCGAGCTCGTCGGAAACATCACACCGTCTGTGTAAGCGGCTGGCCTCGTGGGGGAAATAAAACTTACTGCCAGCCCAGCTTTGATATATATACGGTCGTCGCCGCCGACCACGAGAGACATATTTCTTGTAGAACGATTGGATTTCTTTTTCTTTTTGCATCAGTTTCTGCAATCGGGATTTGCCCTCGGATAGCCATTTTGGGTCGTGACGACGAGGCCACCAGAATAGTGACCTCTGCTGTTGGGGGTATAGAGTAACCTGTGAGCAGAGGGTTTCAGATGTTGAGGGAATAGCTGGAACCAGTAGCTGTTGGTAGGGCAATATCAGATGTTGGAGTGAACGATGCCTCGAAGAAAGACTTGATGAAGCCATGTTAAGTTCAAGTGTGTACTGTATATCTGTTGTTAGGTCAAGCAACCACAACTCATTCAGTTAAGGGTGCCCGTGAATTCCCACCGGGGAACTGGAACAGATCCCACTCATTCTTGCCAAACAGTATAGTGTCCCCTCTGTCGTCAATGATATCACAACTACTAAAATAGGCACGTTGAGTATGACGGAACCGCATTCCCCGCGTGACGTCATCTGACCCACGCTTATCTAATACCCCATTCCCCGCCTGAATGGTTGCAACGACATTTCCATTTACTTGAACCAGCCTAACTATCATATCAATTCAGGTATTTCAACAATATATTGCAATATTGCTCTCATGCCAATGCGAGTTCTGCCCGGCGTAATGGAAGAGAGCAGGTTATCACTTCCATCATTATCTTCAACCCGAAATATTTGCGAGAGAAAGCTGCGTATATTTCGTTACTCAGCGGACCGATCCCCGAAATCCTACCTCAGAAAAACAAATGCGAATGATCTCTCCCAAATGTATGGAAACAAGTTTCGTCGCTGTATATGGAAAACAAAATGGAATCTTTAACTACATACATGGAACAATTAGAACCACATAACACAAAATATACAGGCGCAGGAACCAATCTTCTATACCAGGTTCGGCATATCGGATATCTCCAATCTACTAGAACAGCGGCTCATATTCACCTTCCTGATCTGCAGCGAGAGCCTGAGCAAGTGAAGGTCATGGGCAAGATCCAGTGGTTGTATTCCGGTCCCATCGTGGACCAGGCCAATCCGGAGAGGCCGATGACTTCTAGAGGACCAAGGTAGAGGAGAAGCAGGAGATGTCTCCGGCTGTGCCTGAGCTATATCGCCTTCGCTCTTGCGCAATTTCCTCTGCCTTTCAATATCGGGTAGGAATATTGGATATGAGACGAGGTAGCCCATTATGATTGGGATGAAGTTTAGACCAAGGGCGATGGTACCAAAGTCGCATTGGCTATATCCGAGGGCGAAAGCCTTGATCCATGTGAAGATAAGCGCATCGGAGAAGCCGGAGAGGAGCGAGAGAAAGACCACAATTGGTTCGCAGACAAGCATATGGAACAGTCGTATCCAAACGGTGAGAATCTCCTTGAAGTTTAGTCTTGTTTCTCTAGTTCGTTGGGCCAGTAAATACTTGGGTCTTCGCCTGCTTTGCGGCGACGCTTTGCTTCGCGATCCACAATGATTGTTGAGCGGGTTGCCCCCACGAGGAAGAAATGGGTGATCTGCACAACACCACCGAAAATTAGCTGGACCCAGAAGATCAACTGCCAGGAAAGGTAATATTCGATAAAAGCGCCGGAGATGGGGCCGATAGCGGAGCCTGCAACGGAGGACAGGATGACATGCGCGACCGCAAAGCCTTTGTCTTTGGCTCCCATATCAGTAGTCATAACCAGTGTCATAGAGCCCGCCAGCCGACTCGTGGCTATGAGAGTTGTCAACAAGGTAAGTTAATCAATGTAGTATCATGTACGCCGGAAAGGGGGCAGGAATATCTGTGAGAATAGGAAGAGAAGGCAAGATTGTGGTTTCAAGTGATTGCCCCATGTTGGTACGTTATCAGCGGAGGAGATCTGGCAATGGTATGGCAATTATCTATACCAAGGGAAGAACGGCGGTTTTTCTTTACCTCCGAGTCTTCTCAGTACAAAGTAGAGCGCAGCTATCGTCGATGTTAAGCATCCATTTTCATTGCTAGTACTATGCAAAATGTTGCTATAAATAATATAAATACTCACTTGGCCCAATTCACAAAATACTGAATAATCGAAATTCTCATTCTATTCATTTATCCATCCATTCATCCCCCAAATCTATTTCATGATCTTGAAAACGAAATATCAAACAAACATCTGAGAAAAGGATGGGCGAGAGCTACTAACAACGCCTATTCTCTCAAAGCTATCCACATCAACGATATGATTACTCCAAAATCGCAATCCTTCAATCCCTTCCTCTCGACAGAGCACTCCCTGATCTTCAGCCATCTCCAGTTCTTCCGCAGCGACACCGACGCTCCATCCGAACCGCTCCGCGGCCTCTTGAGCTGTGACGCCTCTGCCATACATGCGCCAATCCCAAGAAAGAACCTCATCAGATGCAGGTGTAGCACGTAATTCTTCAAACCATGCCTGCAGCTGCCCGATGGTCTTCTCATCCGTCCAATCAAAACGCTGGACGACAAGAAGGCCGCTCTTGAACCGACGTAGGCGCACGGGGAGCTTCAGCTTCTCCCACAACTCGGCAGCCTTTTGGAAATCGGACGGGCTCACGAGCTCGACGCCATTGCGACTGCGATTGAACACAGCCCACAGGTCGATTAGACTCATGATACCGCCTTCGCGGTGGAGGACGCCTTTGCGATCATCTGTCAGGAACTCTGCGAGGTTGCGAGAGAGCTCACTGAGATATAGAGTTTCCGAACTGCCTCCGGGTCCTAGCATGTCCTTCGTAATAGTCATACCAAGGGCAGCAGCGGATTGTGATAGGACGACGCTTGCTTCAGGTGAACTGCTGCCCTTTGATGCAAGGCCAGATTCCGCAGCAAAACTTTCAGCCAGCGCGACAATTTCCTTAGCTGATGCCATAAGCGCTTCCAGATCCTCGAAGGCACTGCCAAGGACAACTTGGTTGTTCTGTCGTGCCTCGAGGTCACGTCGCTCGAGCCCTGCAATCCCAACTGCAGGACGCAAGGAACGTTGGCCAAATACTTTGGAGTCACTTCCTGGTACAGAAGATGCCGGGGGAGGGGTTGCCTTCGGGACCGGTGGGGCATCATGGAGAATCCATTTTCGCTGCACCAAGGCATTTCTTAGCCTTTCATGAAATATCTTCTCACCACCTCCGCGGAAGGACAATTTGACGCTCTCATACACTTCGGTGTTATCTAGGTTGGTTGTTCCAAACAATGGAGCTGGGGAGCCCGAACGATCTAGGTTTTGGACGCCAGCAGGATGATCTAGTCTTTTGAGGGACGCGCCACATATTTCACACTCTAATAAGGAAGGGTGGTTTGCGAAGGTACATCTTGGGCAAGCAACCTCTGAATCGATTGACGAAGAAGGGAAATGGGAAGAGTTGACGGGGGATAACGAGGCCCCATTTCTTCCAGGTCTACTCGAACCACTTTGGTTTCCTTGTGGCGAAGTGAATGTCGAAGAAGTGCTCTGCGCTCCATTACTAGCTGCAGACGTAATTGCTGCTTTCAACAGGGTGGTAAACGGAGGTTTTATACCGCAAGCCAGGCACGGTGGCTGCGTCATCGAGGCATTCGCAGTTGCAGGATCAAAATTCAAAGGTAGGGGGTTTGAATATGTACATATTGGGCAAACCCATGTTGCATTAGAAATCCTCGTGGCAGAAGCACTTTGTGAGTGAAACGGACTGCCACTCCTGACGAATGGTGAAGATGGGTTTCCTGGTGAGCCAGACTTTGGTCCTTGAGGGGTGACCAACTCTCCGGTTGAGTTACGATTTTGACCACGGCCCCGTCTCGATGGCTTTGGGTATATCGTTATTTTGGGCGATGATTTCAAGAAACCAGCCTGTGAATTACTCACAAAGTCAGAGCTTGCGTACGATTTCGAACATCCAGCCGGATTTGGGAGATGCTCAGACCTGATATTCAACGCGATCTACATATTTCAACTCCATCGCAATTGAGTATTTTCGAGGCTGGTCATCGTCAACATAGCATATCCGATGCGATGTGAGATAGGCATGGCCGGACTGGTAATCCGGAATCTTGTACTTCCTGAATGCGGGGAATGGGGTTAGGTCGCTGCGCTAAGCTTTCTGATTTTCAGTAACATTTCCAAACTTACCCTTCATACAACCCCACCTGATCTTGCACAAAGAGAAGAGTCTCGTCTGGCAACAGTGACGGGCGGAGTGCAGTGGTCAGATCCAAGGCGTTGAAGAACATCTAGCCAGGCTGTATGAAGGACGGGGACATGTGCATCATTTTCAGAGCTCGCCAAATACAGTTACACCATTGTGTGACCGAATCGGAGACCGGTGAGAGTTCTCAATTGTAGTGAGGTTTGCTCCTGTCATTGTCTAATCATCATCGTTCTCGAAGCTCCGGTTTTCGAGACAAGGCGCAGATCCTGAATCGAAGCAGGATTACTAAGCGAGCCATAGGTGCAACCAGCCGCGTGCTGCTACCAGAAACAGCAAGCTAAGCGAATCCGCCTCACTTTTGACCGCCGCTTCTTTTCCGGCCACCCTCATCCTCAACAACAACTCATCATCGCCACCGTAAGCCCTTCTCTATCTTGCGCTCTCTTTCACTTTTGAGAAAGGATTAAATATACCCACGGCACCTTGTACCTTTGTTCTCCTTGACTTCCTTTCCCCCGTAGTTTTTTGATCGTCTGTACCCCCCTTTGCATGCTTTTGCTGCCAGACCTGGAGTTCTTTTATCATGAGTACAGCTCCACCACCATGGCGAGCAACTGCTGCGCCTGTTTATTCATCAAGTGGTAAGTCTACGGGTCTTGCTTATTGGATGCAATATATTGTGTTGTAGCTAATGAGGTACTACGTTCAAGTTTCTCCAGCGTACATTCCAGTGCAAGCGCGTCGTAGCCTCGCTCATCATACTTCTGAATCCACCACAGCCAAAACGGAGCCGAGAGAGTCGTCGTCGTCACCTAGAACAGCAGATTCTAAAACTGGGAAGTCAAAAATTGACTGGCCGCCAGCTGTTCGCCAGTATGTCCAACGCAGCTTCGTCCCCGAGTTCCAAATCGCGAGTGTGAGTCGGATGGAGATGGAGCAAAAACTCAAGCAAGTTATCACCGAAGCCGCAGAAAATGGTAACCTTTACAATGTTGATTGGGAGAACTTGCCGTTACCGCAACAAATGATTCAGAATGAGCGAAATAAGATTCTCACTTCCGCTCTTTCTGCTTCCTTACCATCTTTATCCCCTACCAAATCACAAGATGTTCGCCAGCAGAAAGTAGAGAAGGCGAAGGAAGAAACCCCCAAGAAGAGGAAATCGTCAGAATTTAGCGCGGAGGAGGATGAGCCGGAAAATATCCCACCTTGGAGAAAGACTAACACACGCAATGATTTTGAAAACCGCATTAGTTACCCATCTACAGCTGATAAACGACGACGGATAGATAGCAACAACCATAATTTCAACAGCAAGAATTCAAGTAAGTTACAAAATAACCTGGAGCTGCGGAAACGGCGCTTTGAGGATTCGCATTTGGGATATCAATCTCCACAGGCTGGTAGCTCTTCTCGCGATGAATCACCGGATGTGGGTTCAGGGCCAGTCATCGGACGTTGCCAAACGTTGGAAAAGAACTATTTCCGATTGACTTCAGCCCCCAATCCTGATACCGTTCGTCCTTTGCCTGTTCTGAAAAAGATGCTCGATCTATTGAAGAAAAAATGGCGTCTCGAGAATAACTACACCTATGTTTGCGATCAGTTCAAATCCATGCGCCAGGACTTGACCGTCCAGCACATAAAAAATGAGTTTACAGTGAATGTGTATGAGATACATGCCAGGATTGCTTTGGAAAAGGGGGACCTTGGTGAGTATAATCAATGCCAAACGCAACTGCGGGCATTGTATTCGCAAAATCTTGGAGGACATCCCATGGAGTTTATGGCATATCGCATCCTATATTTCATCCATACTCGCAACCGAACGGCGATCAACGACGCTTTGGCAGATCTAACCCCTGCAGATAAATTGGACCCCGCTGTGAAACATGCTCTTGATGTTCGATCAGCTTTAGCGTTGGGGAATTACCATAAATTCTTTCAACTTTATCTGGACACGCCGAATATGGGTGCTTATCTCATGGACATGTTTGTTGACCGGGAGCGCCTTGCAGCACTTGCATGTATTTGTAAAGTGTGAGTAATTCCGTTGTCCTCGCCACATAAAAATGTATACTAACCTAATTATTCCAATTAGGTATAAACCTGAGGTGAAGATAAGATTTATTACTGAAGAACTTGGTTTTGAGTCCGATGAACAGGCTGCCCGATTTATATTAGACCATGCCCCAGAGGATTTGCTCCAGGAAAAGCTTGATGGGGTTAAGCTCCTTACCGGAAAAGCCGGTCAGGTTTTCGAAGTAGCCAAAGCGGAAGCTCACAAGGTGGTCGACATAAAGGGGCAGATCTAGTCAACCCGTTCGATCCTTCCCAAAACAAGTTTTTTCCGTTGAACTGGATCCTACCACTCTCTTCAACTTTGATTCTTGTCTCGCATATTTCGTCCTAGTGGGCCGTATCCCGAGCGATACATCGGCCGAATCCTCATATTTCTTTTCTTCCTTAATCTTGCTGCTTATTCCCTCCATGAATTTTCTTTTTCTTTCACTCTTCTTTTTTCCCGTCAATCTTACTCTTATCTCTCGAACCACAAATCCATCCGTCGTACATACATGCTCAATCGAAGCCTACCTATGGATTATCGCCATATTATGATCTTTCTTTTCTCCCCATCCTTTTTCTTCCTTCGCAATCGACCGGTTACACATTCGGGATACGCGGCCTTGCGGAATCTTTTCCCCCGTTTTCGTTGTGTGTTTCCACCGGGCAATAGCCATTTTTGGTACCAAAAATAACCCTTGAATTAAATCCTAGCGGTTACTGCATTCGGATTTCTCGTCATGAGATTTTTTATTGGGGTTGGGTATATGAGATGCATGGGGTGGATGGTTTGTTATTAACTCTACTTCTCCGGTGGGCTCTCTGGCGCCTACTTTTCAGGTGGGGTGCCTTGGAGTCGCCGCCTTCATTTCTGCTTATGTTTCCCCGTCCATTTTTATGGAGATCTTCATTTATATAAATATAAATATTATTATATTATATATAATTATATATAATGTATGTATATGTATAAATATAGAAGAATCTATAAACATTTCAAGTATGCCGCTCGTGCCGTTTCAATTAAGCAAATTCGCCATAGCATCGATGTTGGCGCTATCATATTAGCCAGGCCAGCCAGCAGCAGTTGAACACCCGACGCGAGTCAAACTCAGCCTTATTACGAACAACTCTGATACCCAACAACTATGATGCCCTCGAACCCGTGCACACCATCATCTCGAATCTACAGCCCAAGCCTCGAACATTTCATCTATCTAAATACGTTATTGGTTACCGACATCCTCTACGCCACACCGGGAGGCACATCTCCCGTCTATACATGTCGTCCGCTTCACAGTGTCTTGACGCTACTCATTCGGGCTGGGATGGTATGAATTAGGCGGTGGGGACAACCCTACTCACGTTGGTTTCCTGCCTAGAACTAACTATGTTGGTAGTTGGCAGTTGGTATTTCGGAGTTGGATTTGGATTTGGATTTGGATAAATGGTGTTGGTATTTTTTTTATAACTAACGTCACGCGGCACAATTTGGGAACACGGTGATGCGGTGCAAGCGGGCAAGCGGGCAAGCGAGAACACCCAGAAGCGTTTACTGAACTAATACAAGAACGATTTCCCATCCCCCTGGAAATGGTACTGTGCCTGTGCTGTCATGTGAAAGTTTTTTTTTTTTTTTTTTTTTTTTTTTTTTTCCTTTTCCTTTTTCTACCACGCCTGAAGACGGTTTGTGCAGCGGCACTGCCGTATAATACTTACGAAAGCGCAGGTCGGAAACAGGGCAGGAAAAACAGCAGGTCATACCACGTTCGAGAGGCGCTGCCACTTTCGACCACTAGATGAATCGTTGTGGAGGTTTTGTGAGTTCTCCTCGAGACGGAACGTTCCAAGTCGCTGCGTTTGATGGTGGAACAAGAACCACGTTGCGGACCAGATCCTCATGGATAGCTGTCCAGCCAGCCAGCCAGCCAGCCCCACCACCTGCTCTGCCGCTCGCGAGGATAGAGATACTCAAATTTCCACGACCGTGAGCGTTTCAGGTCATTTTCGAATCGATAGGAGGAATCAATCATGATGTAGTAGGCTGCCTCGTGGCTTGTGCGGTCTGGTTGAATTTCTGGTGACATTATGGCGAGTTTGCGTCAGGCTACAACGAGGTGAGGGATTGCATGGCGCCATCTGTCGGATGAACAGCAATATTTACATGTACGGGACATGTGCAGGACATGTTTAGAGATGTGCTGATTGACCTACTGTACAGCACTAGAGTGACGACGGGTCACGGATAGCGCAAGCATGCATCAGCTAAGAGCATTTGATGTGAAACGAGTAGAGGAGCAATTTAAGATGGTAGCAGGCAGCTGGGATGAAGGATCTACTCCTGTCCTTATTATCCGGGGAGTACGGAGGGTGGGGGAAAAGTCCTCCCAAGCACTGGAACTCAAATATATCCCATTGTTTACGCGGGCGGGAAAGTAAGTCCTTGATGCGCACGGGTGATTTAACCGCCAGCTGTTTTTAATTTCTAGCTTGTTTATTATCAAAACGACCAAGGCACAGATTATGACATGTCCATGAACAATTGTCAATGATTACTTGGAGACTTCATTGTAGTGGGACCTGTTTCTGGGAATAGCATGAGTTTGCTTCTTCATTTTATTTCAGCGAGCTGAAATACTAGTGATGGAAGCAAGATTTTTTTTTTTTTTCCATCTTTTTCTCCCCATAAGATCTATAGATATCTTCACCTCAAACACACTCGCTGCCTTCTAAAAATAAAGCCGGAATAGAAACACCCAGTTGCTTCTTTCGGTAAGAACTAGCTTACCGAAGAAAATTCAAAATAAGTTAACTAACTAAAAAATTAGAAAGAATAACTTCTCTGAATCCTCTCCCGGTCTGCAGGTCTGCATATCAACAATGATTTATCATTATTATGATTATGACTGGTCGCTTTCCCTCAGTCGCAGGGGTTTCCAACGCATCCATGTTCCATGTTCAGCAGGAATTGATCATGATTTATTGAGATCGACATTATTTTCGTCAAATCCACGGAACTGCAGCCCCTGTCGGTGCAAGCCGTATACGCGGCGTTCGCGCATTTGAAGCCATTCTGATTAGTTAGTCAATAAATATCTCGTCGTTATTTTTATTTAAGCACCGGGCGATGGTTATTTACATGGATCCATCCATCTATTTTGTATTCCTGTGTAGAGTGTGTCGTGCGCAGTTTTAAAGTTATTCAGCTGTGTGAACTTGAAGCAAGGGATCGAGTCTTCATCCAGAAAAACTAAAAAGGTGCGGGTACGAGTGCACGGTACAGAGCACAGCAAGTCACAATCCGTGGCACTGTTCTTCAACACAGCTTCCTACAATCTTACGATGTAAAATATGCCCCACATTTCTGGACATGCACTTTGCGACTCGAATTCGCTCGCTTATTGCTGCATGCATGATCGGGGCAGGAAGTTCGCCGGCGATTTGGATGTGTATGATAGTTTTGTTTTTGTCCTTTCTTGAAGAATTGAGATGAAAAAGGATTTCTGTTCAAAGGGAACCGAAGAAGAAAGACTTACAAACGAAGATTAACCTGTCAACGCTGTAAGCCTCCTCCCCACCAGAAGAAGGCGTAGCGGTTGCGGACGTTGGGTTTAACCCTCTTGTTCGCACACGCAGTACATTATTCGTTAGCATGGGGGTTCTAGCTGCATTCGATGATGTCACACAGAAACAGGTATGCCTTGACCACGAAAGAGAGAGGGGGGAAATCATGCGAAAAAATGCGGATTTTACGTGAAATCATCCATGGATGCTCAAAGGCTGGCACGGGGGAGCAGTCTGTGACAATCGCCACCACGGAATGCAAGAGGGTGGCAATTGGGTGCACCCCAACGGCTCCAAGCTCAAGTCATCCCGAGCTAAGGAAACGGGAGTGCTGAGTGCGAACTCTCCGCTGACAGGGAGTAGAGGTTTCGCGTCCAGACGGTGCCTTGATGTATCTGGCTTGTAACTAATGCCTTGAGCAGCCGCTTAACAGTAAGTTAAGGGCCAGCCCAGAGCCTCCGAAAAGTACAGCGCAAATAGCGTATTTCGTCGCAATCTTCCGTCTATTCTTCTGAAGATCGAGTCTCTTGCCGCGCGCATATATAATAGCTCAGAAGCGAGCATGTTTGATGGCCAGGCATTCCCCCCCAATCTTGCTTTTCTCTTTCTTGCGTTGAGGCGTTTTTTAGAGCCCAAGGTTATGACGCTTAAGGACTTAATTAAAATTAAAAATTATCCAGAACTGGTTCTTCAGAAGCGATGTATACACTCACGACATGTAAGGACTGACCTGGGCATATAATTTATCAATTGATTGATGCAGAGATCAGCATGTTCAGAACTTCTTACTATGAAATCCAACAAGCTCCGATACACCAATGGGTTAGTACAGCCTGTTACCGTAGAGAGGTAGACATCGATATAAGAGATGAAAGCGACATACATAAAAAGTCTCTCTCCGATAGTTAGTAGCCGTTTCCGCTGCGTACGAGAGTGTGAGCGTACTGCTCCACACGCAGATGGTATGTAGCGAGCGGGCTGTTGCTCTTCCAAAGCCCAGAAGGGTGTGGCCGCTGAAGAAGGCTCTGCACGCTTCTTCGCACACAATCTCACCCGCAACTCCGCTCCGCTTGCGACAGCGACAACCGACTTCTCGCCAACCTCCACACAAGCAAGCTGCAACACTAAGCCACAGCTGCTTTGATCTCAGCCTGATTATTTAAATAGTTACCACGTTCACTCACTAGCCTCTTCTGTTGATCGACGATTTGGCTCTCTGTGATCCTCCACCTACCAAGCGAGGCATCTTATCAGCTTATAATACTACATCGACGACGGCGACGACCACAGACAACGAAAACGACAACGGCAACGGTAGTTAACGACTTCGACGACCAACACCAACCAACTCTCATTCCCCACGCCTAACGCATCCTCATCCTGCGCGCCACCTCTCCTCACCAGCGGCGTCGATTGCCTGGATCTTACCCCCCGAGCCGTATTACGATCTTTCCACCGTGTTTCATCGTCCCGCGCGTGGCCGTGCGGCCTTTGGGACCCAGCAACCCCACAAGGCTTGTGGGTGGCGTTATCTTTGGCGAACAAAATAGACGAAGAAGAGATAGATCTCGCGAACAGCTCGACAGAGTGGGAGGAGGACAGAGACAGACACGACAACAATATTTGACGGTTGTACGAGTTTTACGTCGAATAAGCCTCTGTTTTTCACGATAGAGTCTTACAGTGTCTGTCGACGATCCGCCCGTCGTATCTAAAATATTCCCCTTTCACTGTCTGGAAAGGGAGCTAAACACATCCCTCCTCTTTTGATCGCAGTCTTACCACAGCTGGAACTCGTCCTGGTGCTTTTCTTGTCCATTGGCATCATTACCGTCCAATTTTTTTTAAACCCGTTCTCCAGGTCCCCTCCTCCTAGAGTTACCACACTATTGTTGCAACGGGATCACCATCCTCTGTCGTCCTCTCCCTTTTTCCTCCCTCCCATTCTCCCTTTCTCGTCAAGAGATAGATAGGAGTTATCCCTATCAATCGAGATAATAGTAGAACTAGAAACCGCTTAACCCTCCCCTCCGCCCCTGAATAAAGGGAGCCAAGAGATACACAGAGACAGAGAAAGTGAGAGAGAAGCGAGAGAGATTTATTTCCATCCTGGCTTGTCCACCAAAATGAAGGTATGTCACTCGAAACCCCGCTATCCCGGCCTCCTTTGTGACGTTAAATAATAATGGAGGTCGATTTGCGCCGCGCCTCCTTGTCTTTGGCTATTTATCCTGCCATCGCTTGTGGTTGGACTAACGAATCCTGCTCTGGCTAACGTTAAAAATCTGTTCTCTCTCGACAAACAGGCCATCCGGCGCTCACTCAAGGGCGAAAAAGAACCAAAGCCACAACATATCTCCATTACCCCAAAGTCTGCAATTGCCATTCTCCCGCCAAAAAAGGTGAGTCACTCAAGGTTAATTTCTTTTGGTTAAAATATCACGAAAATTCCCTTATTTTATATCTATATGCATATGTATTTACTTTTAAATCCCTCTCCATGCGTCATTATTTTGTTTTCGACTGTGGTCCAACCAAACTCGACAAGGAATTTATGCATGATGTGGGCTCGAAATTAACAAACGCCACTAACATGAAACCAAACTTTGGTGGCTATTCCAACATCTAGGTTATCAAAGCCCTGTATGACCACAAGCCCGAACCCGGGAATACGCAGGAGCTGGCCTTCAGCAAGGGTGATTTTTTCCATGTCATAAGCAGAGAGGACGACACCGACTGGTACGAGGCGTGCAACCCTCTGATCCCAAGCGCGCGGGGTCTTGTTCCTGTCTCATTTTTCGAGGTTATTGGCAAAAACGAGCGTAACAGTGGTGGGTCTGCGGGGAGCCCCGAAGAATACCAACAAGAATTGCACGACTCTGGTTTTTCGGATCGCAGTCCACAACACGTCCGGTCGGATTCGACGAATACCACCAAACAAGCCGCTCTCGCCAGGATGTCCGCCATTGGGAAGGGCTCTGGCGCCATGGTGTACGGCATTGTGCAGTACGATTTCACTGCGGAACGCCCAGACGAACTCGATGCAAAGGCCGGTGAAGCCATTATCGTAATTGCTCAATCTAATCCGGAGTGGTTTGTTGCAAAGCCTATCGGTCGCCTGGGCGGCCCAGGGTTGATCCCCGTTTCGTTCATTGAGATAAGGGATATGACAACAGGCAAGGCTGTGATGGACCCACACGAGGCTGTTCAACGAGCTGGTGTCCCTCGAGTCGAGGAGTGGAAGAAGATGACGGCGGAATATAAGAATAGTTCCATCACCCTAGGGAAATTGGAGGGTGCAGCGCAAGGAGCCGCGGCAGCGCCATCGGGAGACATGAATAGAACGACTATGAATGGCAGTGACCCTGTAAGTGTGCAATTGAAGAGCTGTAGCGGTGGCGGATGTCAAGACTCTACCAAAGCCCTGTACCGTCCATTATGACTGACCATTTTATCCCTCCTATTGGGGGTAATGATGAATAATAGCACCTACAACAAAGCCACAATTCAGGGGCATATTCAACTAATCAACAACAATACCAGAACCAACCATACCGACAATCCGCCCAGCAGAGCCCGCAACAGTCGCAGACTTTTTATTCCGCAGCGCTGGCACCGGTTTCCGCATGCATCCCCCGATACCAATACGATCACGACAAATACTGGTATATTATTAGGGCTAAAATGGAGGATGGCCGGTATTGGGAGTTGTCGAGATACTATCACGATTTCTACGACTTCCAGATTGCACTCCTAAGAGAATTTGAAGAGGAGGCTGGCAACCGGGGGAAGCCGCGGACTTTGCCATTTATGCCAGGCCCCGTCACCCATGTCACGGATGTGATTTCTAGTGGCCGACGACAGAACCTGGATGAATATATCAAAAAGTTATTGTCGATGCCACCTCACATCTCGCGCTGCCAGCTTGTCCGCCAACTCTTCGCACCGCGACCCGGGGATATCGAAATATTCCCGAATTCCTCGGACGAGTACAGACTCTCCGGCGGCTCTCGGCGGTCATCAGGCCAAGATCCTTCCCAGCCAGAATCACCGCATTCTTCAAGAGGCCATATGAACACTGGCGGCTACCAGACCGGCTCGATGGGCCCACCAATCTCACAACGCCAACCGCAAGCGCAATCGCACCTCCAACAAGGACGTGTTCCGTCACAATCACAGTCGAACGGTAGCGGCAACGGCAGCGTTAGCTTCAGCCGCGCCGAACTGCAGAATCAAATTATGAACCGGCAACCCAGCGCGATGACACAGACTTCCTCCTCCGCAAATTCAAGCGCGGGCGCGATCAAGATCAAGGTCTTTTTCCAAGACGACCTGATCGCCATCCGCGTGCCCAATGACATCAACTACGTGCAGCTGCGGGAGAAGCTGAAGGGCCGGCTGAAGCTGGGCGACGACATAATATTGCAGTATAAAGATGAACCGAGCAATGGGTTTGTGGAGCTGTTAAGCGATAACGATCTGGATACGGCGCTGCAGCGCAATGCGAAGCTTACGCTGTATGTTGGGCTCGCATAAGAGATTGAGAGGGTTACGGGGAGGGGTTGGGGCGCGGATGAGGCTAATATGCTGGGATATTCGGGGAGAATAAGTAATTTATATATATGTATGTGGTTCTGTCTCTCCCCTCCCCTCCTGTCGGTCCTTCCATCCGGATCACCACGGTTATGGTTTCTATGATCACTTATTTCTTCGTTTCATCTCTCTTGTTTCGTCAACCTTTTTCCCTCAGTTTTTTCTGACGGGGCAACTGAGACATTGTTGCTTGGATCTATTTTAAACACCCCCCTTTCTTCGTCTTCTTCCCCTTATTTTCCTTTTTTTTCCTTTTTTTTCCTTTTCTTTTATATATGACCCTCCTTCCGATCTATCTCACCAGCCTTCTCTTTATTTATGTATCTCTTTTGTCTGTTTTACTTATTTAACGTGCCCCATTGCAATACCAGGATATGTATGAATCGGGGATGGATTTGATTGAATGTATGGCAAAATCCCCTATCCACCGACGTGCCCTTGCGGAAAAGTCTGTGATGATATATGTATGCCGTTCGAAGGGCGAAAATCAAATCTCCTATATATACATTCTACCTATATTTTACTTTGAATTTTGCTTTAGGTTTATTGTCTCTTGCGTTTCTCCTAACCCGTTCTTCTCCTCACTTCTCAATCATTTCTTCCGATAGTATGCTTCGTCGCTGTCCGTTATCTCTCGTTCCTTAAGCTCCCCCTCTTCTTCCCTTCTCCGACTGGCAATACGTATGTGCTCTACGCTTCTCTTTGGCCTTTTTAAGGTTTGTTCTATGCCCCCCTGATGTCCCTTTTTATCTACGTGGATGCTCGCTTATTCTTATTTTATCGTCTTACTTTTTATTTTTTTTAATTTTTTTTTTGTTGTTTGTTTTTTGATACCGCCCTCTATATATTGTAAAAATTGTGAAGCAGACACTTGTGGGTAAAACTCTTCTCATGAATCGTAATAAATAAAATATATATATATATATAACCTTTGGCACGATGATACGGACTGCCCTTTTTTGTTGACTGCTGGTGGTGGCGGATGACATCTAGCTAATCCATAAATTCATTCACCAACCCAGAACTGCGAACATCCACAAAACAATCAACCTCTCTTTTCATTGCCTGTTCCAGCAGAGAGATTATCGGAACGAGCACTTTATCAAGCAGTTCCTAGATACCCAATTCCCAGTTTCCCTTCTGTTACGAGATCCAGCTTTGAAACTTCCTTTCCATTATTTCTATCACTCATCCGCGATACTTTTTCTTCCTGTCTGGCATGGAAATGGATGGATGGATGGATGTATTTGTTTAACGTCCTAGGGCGGTGCACGCGTCTCCTGCACCCCTGAGGCCTCCCGAGTCGCATGGAGATGTGCGACGCTGAAGATATCTATATATACACGATACGAGAACAGGACAGAATTCAGATAGCAACTCATGATAAGACTCAGTCCAAGGGACTGTGCATCCACTTCTAGCCCGACGTATGGCCAATCATGGTGGGGCTAAAGTGTGAACTCTGAGAGGCCACTGAAGCCATGCCTGAGAGGCCCGGCATGGAAACGGAGGAGGATCGTGTTGCTGATCAGCCAGATGAGGCCTTCCAACATTCAATCTCAGGAGCGGGCCGATCTCTTGTCTGAACTCCTGAGACGCAATTGGACAGGATGCTGTCAAGGCGGCAATGTGGGCTTGTCTACAAGAATGCGATATCTCGAAGTTACGCGAACTTGTGGGGTACGCGCGAGACTGCCCTTCACTATTCGTCCTCCTTGAATACCCCTCTCTATCCATACTTTTACATTGGGTGTAATGACCTCTTCGTAATCGGGCAACATTATCGACAGCCTCAAACTCTCCGGCCACTCCATCTTTGGAAGCTCCTCCGTTACTTTTTTGAGCCGGACCGGTTGAACCGATGGCGCGCAGAAATATTCAAAGACCCTTCCAATCCAACCCAAACTGCCGATGGCTGTCAGAACATGATCTGCCTAGATCCCACGGCACACGAAATGTGGTCAAGAGGCCAATTTGCACTGCGACCAGTTTCCACGTCTGACGACTGCAAGGAACTTACTGTTTAATTCTACTGGCAGCCTAAGTCGCCCCATGACCGGTTTGATTCTGTAAATATCCAAAGAGCTCCCCGCTCATCCAGAGATCTCTCTCGAGTCGGTGGAGACTACCTAGCAATATTCAACAATACGGACTTTGCACGGGCCATCAAGTCTTCAATATGCAATGGTGTCTTCAGCGAATTGTATCGATGTCTGGTGCAGCGGACGTCTATGACGAGGAAGACGACGACGGCGACGACGATGATGACGGTGAATGGCATAGGGAGATCGTCCACAAGTCCATCTCGGAGTGGGACATTTATTCGTGGGTGCCTCCCCCACCGTCTGACTCAGCTTCTTCTGAGGGAGATGAGCTAGATATTAGGCCACTGGGGCAAAAGAGTTCAATCACCACCAGCGCCATGCTGGTATAGAGGGGACGAATCACCCAATCCAATCCCTCCAACACTAGATTCGTCGACTATATTTCATCTATTTTACCTACCTCTTCCCCTCTGAAGCCCCTAGCGGTCCAGGGGAAATTTTTATCTATTAAGACACGTGGAGCTGAGCCACCTGTTTCGTGTGATGCACTCCGCGAGCTCGCAACAGTGTGAATTTTTTTTTTTTTTTTTTCATTATTATTTATTCATTTAATTATCATTTATTCACTATTTTATTTTTATTTCAAAGTCAAACACTCAGGTATCAAGTGTGTTGTTAAACCCCTTTTAGTAACAGATAATCACCATGTGGTTGCTCAATGCTTTGCCCTGCGGCCCCGATCCCTTTGCCCCAGTCAGTCAATAATTGTTGTCTTACTTCTTCTTCAAAAACTTACAAACTTACATTGTTAATTATTGTATCATAGGCTATTCCCTGTTTATCCAGGGTTATTCTGCATTTTAAGATCAAAGTATTACTAGCAACCATGCAACCATACAACATTAAAAGTCTTCGCCTCAACTTCTCCCCTAGTTCGACAGCCATTCGAACGTTTATACTGTACATTTCTCATTCATTGCCAAAAGGTGGAATCAGGTAACCCTTCGTAGTTGTCATCAGAGGGCCGTTGGGATCTCTCTCATTGATCTCGTCGATCATTCCCTTCTCTTCCCAGCCTGCCACCGCTCTAGAAGTAGGTGTTCAGGTGGAATAAACTGAAATATGACTAGCATGTAGCCTACAAGTATTAGTCGAATGAAACTGAAAAATAAATAAATAAAATAAATAAATAAAATAAAATAAAATAAAATAAAATAAAATAAAATAATATAATATAATATAATATAATATAATATAATATAAAATAATGTGTGTAATTGCTGAATCCTGTTCAACTTCATATTCTACATGATTGAGGATTGGAATTCCATGAAATTTGAACTCCGCACACTTCACGGAACCCCTTGCAGAAACCGTTGGACGTCTGAGCAGGTGTAGTGGGCATGTTTAAGCACGGTGATAGAAATGTAACTTCTTGTTATTCAATCTCTCGCAATGAGCAAAATTCTGGGTGGGAATCTCTAAATACCTCGGCTCACTCAACGCAACCGATATTGCACATTCGGTTCGAGCAAAGTGGTATCCCGGCTACACGGTATATTCAAGTATGGGTTTGGGGTTGGGGAGGATTGGAAATATAGAAATTCCCGCCATCTCCCTTTCCTCTTCTCCTTTAATTCTTGGACTTGAATGCTGCGCAGATATATATATATGTGTATGTATATGTCGAAACATAGAGTTCCGTCGTCAGCGTTGTCGCGTCTGTTCGTATCAAAGTCCCGTCCCAATAGAAGTCGCAATCTAGTCAGGAACGCATATTAACTGATAGCTGCCAGGTTTCTTGGACTGGAGTAGCACATTCGGTCTGCCGAAGAACCAGAAATTGCTCTTTCGTACATTCATGATGGCGGTACAACTTCCACAGCTTCCTGATGTCGAGAGGTTGAGCGACAGGGTAATCCGGATCCTGGGTGGAAATCCGGGAAAGGTACTGTAGATATGACCATTATATTGATTCACCCCCTTTTGTTATCTGTCTTTTTCTCTCCTGGGAGAGTTATTCAAGATGCTAGGATAAGAATTAGCCCCTCGAACTGTTTCGCTAGGTATTCTTAGGCATCTCCCATACAAATCCAGAAAACACCCGAGAATGTGTTATCTTGATTTTTCTTCACGTCTTCATTTATGCCATGAAGCGAGCTGTTCTTAGAGTAGATTCCCTCACTAACCATCCAACGACAAAACATCCTTTATGACAGTTTACTCTTCAAGGTAACCATCCCACTGGCCCTTTCCCCAAGTATGATTGTTAATGACTGACCGGATGCAGGGACCAATACATACCTCATCGGTCAATGCCATGAGCGTATCCTCATCGACACAGGGGAAGGTCGTCCAAGCTGGACCGAAAACCTCAAGGCTGCCCTGAAAAATGAAAACGCCACCATAAGAACCGTCCTCTTAACACACTGGCACCATGATCACGTTGGGGGTGTGCCCGACCTGCTCAAGATCTGCCCTGACGCAATGATACACAAGAGCCAGCCTGATGCAGAGGGCCAGTTAGATATCGAGGACGGGCAGATATTTCAAGTCGAGGGCGCAACGTTGCGAGCGTATAGCACACCTGGCCATACGAAAGATCACATGGTATTCAGGCTCTGCGAGGAGGATGCGTTGTTTACGGGGGACAGTATGCTTTACTTTTATTTATTTATTTTGTTTTTTTTTTTTCACCTCTTTTTGTTTCATCCCAATATTTTAATCAAGGTTTCCGCATAACTACTCACATGTCACCCATCTGCTTACCCGCCTAGACATCCTCGGGCATGGCACCTCCGTTTTCGAAGATCTAGAGGTCTACCTCTCGACCCTCGAAAAGATGAAGTACTATTTCTCCGGCCGCGCCTACCCGGGCCATGGAGCTGTGATCGCGGATGGAAACTTGAAGATAACCGAGTACATCAAGCACCGACAACAGCGGGAGGATGAAGTGCTGCAAGTGTTGGCGTACGGTAGTTTAACGGCTGAGAGAGACGGGCCGTCATCCCCGGTTAACGGGGAGGAACTTCGACGCTGGACGCCGATGGAACTGGTGAAAGTCATCTATCGTGAGGTCCCGGTGACTTTACATGTCCCGGCTTCGCAGGGGGTGTTTCAGATTTTGAAGAAGTTGGAGAGGGAAGGAAAGGTTGTGACGGGAGAGAGTGACGGGGAAGACCGGTTTATGATCGTTCTGTGATGTATATGTATCCTTATAGTTTTTCCCCGGCGCTTCTTTGCTCATATGATTTACTTGCTTGCTTGATTTGTTTCGTTTTATTTGAAGAGTTGTATGAATCATTACGATGAAATCAGAAAAATACAAGTTTTCATACTATGAAGATTGCAGTGAGGCCATATTATTTAGTTACAACAGAAAAAATATTACCATTATTACTATTATGGCAAAAACAGGCAGAGTTCCCAAACTCCTACATTTCACTCAGTGGATGCAACTCCTGGACCCCAAGCATCCGGCCACCAGTATCTATTCTCACATGTAAGTACGGTTGATATTGCCAGTTTACGGGCCCATAGCTAACTCGAATCACTTGACGAAGAATTCCGCCTTCCTGAATGTCGTTTAATCTGTAAAGCTGGCGGAATATGTATTTCTTGTGGTGGCTGTGGTGGTGGTGTATGCATTGTCAGGGGTGCAACAACGACGTTAACAGGTTTCCGCCCGGGTGTGCTCGTCACGCTGGATGGCGGCGTATTTACGGGAGGCTGTTGATGGTCCCCGGGCCCACCAGCACCATAACCTGCGTGAATATCGGCGGTCATATTCAGTGCCATACTCGGCGTCATAGCATTAGGGACTACGTTCGGGTTCATATTCGGGGCCATGTGATGCGCCGTGTTTACGGCCATATTCGGATCTGCGACGGGGGTCATGTAATGAGTTGTATTCGGAACCATGTTTGAGGGGCCATTTTGAGGAACGACTTGCTGATAGGTGGGTGAGCTTATTCGAATGGGAGGCTGTTGTTGTGGCTGTTGCTGCCATGGGAGCTGCTGGTTTGCCTGAGGAGGCGGCGAGTGGGAGAAATTAGGTACTTGTCCCGGTTGCTGCTGTTGATATTCAGTATTTCCTTGGGGTGGGTGATGCTGATTCTGATGATGTTGCTGCTGCTGCTGCTGCTGCTGCTGCTGCTGAAGTTCCTCGTGGTACTGGAGTTGCTCGAGCCCTTGGGGATGATGGGGCTCGGGATATATTTGCTGCTCCGGTTGGGGAGGCTGCGGGAACTGGGGTAACAGCTGTTGGGGGGTTTCCGCAAACCCCTGGGTTTGCTGAGGTTGCAATTGCTGTGGGCCATATGAATAATTCAAGGAGTCAGGCGGCGGAAATTGCTGTCCATGCGATGGTTTCCGACGTGGATGCTGCTGGAGTCCACCTGGGAGGGGAGTCGATGGTGTCGTCGTAACCGTCGGGTTGGGTACTGGAACTGACATCTCCATTGGCGGGGGCTGAGCAGGCTGATGGCTAACATACGTCGCATGCGAAGGGCTACGTCGCGGGGGAGGTGCGATAGGTTGCTCCAAGCATAGCGAACACCAGCCATCCTTGCCGCGCAGGGCTTCAGAGATGCCCACAGTCAAAACACAAATAGTCACTCTAATCGCAACGGCGAACCGTTTTGTGGAGCAGCCGTAGCAGAGCTCGTCGCAGATGACGGCGCGGGGAGTGGTATATTCATCGTTGGTGTAAGGTTGCTGGTGCTGGTCTTGGTACGCCATGGCAGAGGACTCCTCTATGAAACCGAAAGGAAACAGAAAAGAAAAATAATATAGAGAAGTAAAAGGCAGACAGCAGGCCCTGAAGATGTTTGACAGGAAACGTCGCGACGTACTCCGTATCAAGGAGCAGCAAATTCCCAACTAAATATTTTCCAGGTCAACGAAAGGTGGAAAGGCCCTCATTGAGGTATTGGGAATCATGGTCAATGCGCCGCACAAGAGCAACGAAATAACTGCCGAGCATCCTGGGCTTTATCAATCAACACTCAAGCCCAAGCCCGAGGCTGTCTGCGGACGAACAGGTCTCAAAAACCACACCTCTCTTGAGCCTCACCGCAGAGTGGGTGAGACTTACACAGCTTACGTGAAGAGGAAGGCATGTGGCCAGCTGCCAAAAACGCCATATCGTCGCTCATTCGTTTGGCTTTCAGCCAGAGTTGAAACTGGGTCGAATCATGCAATAGTGCATTCCGCAACAGAGGAGGATTCCCTGCATTTTGTCGACAATGGATCCAGCATTTGAAAAGCCATTGCATTTTTCTGTCGTTGAGCCACTCGGTAGATGAAGTCGCCTGACTGGCTTGGGGCCGTTGAGACTGAACCTTTCCGGGAGCTGGCGCTTGCTTGGCGGTGGTTCTGTGGCAATCTGGGCCTGCGCCTTCAGCAAATAATAGGGAGATATAGTCCAACGATCAACCCACAAAGTTTGATATGAGAGGGACAGAGTCAGCCCAGAGTGGATGGCTATAAATAAATGGGAAGCTCAAGATATTGACAAAGTTGAACGTGGTCCATGCTCCCAATTTTCGACCAGAAAGCGATTCTCCGAAACCACCATCCATAGATTTACTCAGCACTTAACACATCACCTGTTAAGTGTAGTTAGCGGGTGGGGGATATGTATGCTTTTCCTGCATGAACAGGAGTGCCTCGTTATGCTTCTTAGAGGTGGCGAATATTCACAACCCATAGAGCTGACTCGACAACAGGTGTCCTTAGAAATCATAAACATCTCGCTGGATGAGATTATGAGCAAAAAGAGTGTATCCTTAGGAGCCTGTTCACGCGAACTTACTAATTCGCGGCATCAGCAGAACTGTTGGAGGTATTCATTCATGATCTTGTATGGATTGGGGTTTGGAGGTTGATGGAGCAGCTGGCCATAAACAGACTAGCGTTGCTTATATAAAAGCTGATCTCGACGCGCTCAGCCTCCCCCTCGATGCAAGCCACTCAGGAGCCTCTTTTTGTGACCAGAAATCTGGATTGGGTTAGTTCACATCGGGCCGGTGTGGCTGAGATTGCTGAGATAATACACTCTAACACGTGACATTATGGCCTATCAATCACAATGGCAAAACATCTTCTACTATCTATCTACGCTGCTGTCAAGCCCTTTCTCACCTATCTCATTAGACGTGCCTATCGTTCTGACATCTCCAATATTTCCCCCCACGGTTCCCTTCGTTCTGTTGTATTACATAGACTTACGTGGTTCCATTTTTCTCCGAAGTTACCGGTCCCTCTTTCGATGCATGCGCGCGGGTTGCCCGTTTGCATGCCATTTACATACCGTAAAGTTGCGTATCCAAATACCCCTCGACAACTTTTGCGAAAACACGGAATCTGTTCTGCATATAGAAATTATTTCTATTCGGTTGAATCTCGCGAAGAAGGGAGTTGGGCTATATCCTCGTGACCCTGTCAATATTTTTCGTTCTTGATTCTAAATGTCTATTTTCGGAACAGTAACCGATGTACTGTAAGAGCAGGGGAGAAAGGAAAACATATATATACATACTCTGGAAGAAGGGATAAATACGCGGCGTGATCTGAAGACAGAGAAAATGCGCACCCCACTTCGCGCTTTCCATCACGCTCTTCTCGCAGAAGCCATCTTGTTCTCGCGCATTCGATTGCCCGCGGTTATTCCCCTGGTTGTGCGTCGGCAGTACGGTGGTGCTGTCTGTGCAGATTGTCGGAGGAGCATGAGGGATGGGCGGAGAGCTGGTGAAGCTCTCGTCCTTGCGTCTCTGCAACAAGCACAGGGATCTACAACGGCGCTATCAAAAGTTATTTGTCGGAGTGGCCGAAGACACCGACAGCAACAGCAGGTTAGAGTGATTTCTAGCGGTCAGGCTGATTCTGCTGGGGTTTTAGATGGAGCATCAGGCATGTCTGCGGCGAATACTAGTGGACAGAGGCTGTACGGACCGATTCAAGAGTATGAGACGCGCGTGCAGTCGGGGAAATTGAGGGACGATGCGCATCAGCAAGGTAATATATATATATATATATATATATACATATATATGCGTATTTTCATTTCTGCATTTTCCACATCCGTTCTTGTGTTTTATCTCTACATCTGTGCAAAGTACCTTCATTAACGACTATCATATTTTGTTTACTCATTTTCTCATTCCGTAGAGATCGTCCAGCATCTCCAAGACCTCCACGAGATGCTCCGCTCCTACATTCCACCAACTGTAGTCCATCCAACCCTCGAGTCCCTCCAAGACCCAGAACCGAAAACCTCTTTTCTCAACACCCTATTCAGCCGAAAGCCGTCCCCGCCAACTACGACACAGATCCCAGCTAACTTACCTAAGGGCTTGTATATGCACGGCGACGTAGGTTGCGGCAAGACAATGCTGATGGACCTATTCTTCGATACGCTGCCAGCAAATATCACATCACGTCAGCGCATCCACTTTCATAATTTCATGCAAGACGTGCATAAGCGCCTGCATGTAATGAAGATGAAGCATGGAGTCGAGTTTGATGCGGTACCGTTTGTTGCGGCCGACATTGCGGAAGGGGCGAGTGTGCTATGTTTTGATGAGTTTCAGTGCACGGATGTGGCAGATGCGATGATTCTGAGGAGGTGGGACACGCCTTTTTTTTTTTTTTTTTTTTTTTTATGGCATTTTTGCTCTCCATCCGTTGTCACTTCCTGTTCATCGATGCATAAAATAAAGGTATTGACGGTTTAATCAGGCTCCTTGAATCCCTCATGTCCCACGGCGTCATCCTCGTCACAACCTCCAACCGCCACCCAGACGACCTGTACAAAAACGGCATCCAGCGCGAATCCTTCATCCCCTGCATCACCCTCCTAAAGACCTCCTTAACAGTCCTTAACCTCGACTCCGCCACGGACTACCGAAAAATCCCTCGTCCGCCTTCAGGGGTGTACTGCCACCCGCTCGGCATGCCGGCTGATCGTCACGCGGACAAATGGTTCGAGTACCTGGGCGACTTCGTCAATGACCCACCACACCACGCCGTGCACCAGGTGTGGGGACGTGATATCGAGGTGCCGTTGGCGAGTGGCAAGGCTGCGCGGTTTACGTTTGACCAGCTGATTAACCGGGCAACAGGGGCAGCGGATTATCTTGAGCTGATGCGGAGTTACGAATCGTTTATTGTAACAGATGTACCTGGGATGACGATCGAGCAACGGGATTTGGCGAGGCGATTTATCACGTTTATTGATGCGGTTTATGAGAGCCGGGTGTGTTGATTATATCTGCCTTGTGTCATAAAGTATCTATGACACTTCTCGCTTTTCACTAACACGAGAAATTTTCCATGTAGGCAAAACTCGTCCTCACCACGGCTGTCCCGCTAACGAATCTCTTCCTCTCCGAAGAAGAACTTCAAGAATCAATCGCTGAAAGTGATAAATCATCAGCGTCATCAACGGCATCATTATCATCCATAACAGTTAACAACAGCCAGGATGAAGTACCTGAAAACCTCCCAGACTCCATGCGACATCTCATGGATGATCTGGGCCTGTCCATGTCCGCGCTGAAATCCAGCTCCATTTTCAGTGGCGACGAGGAACGCTTTGCCTTTGCGCGAGCCTTGTCGCGGCTTGCTGAGATGGAGGGAAAGGATTGGGTGGAACGCGGGTTGGGGATTGGAATGGATACGAGAATGGGAGAGGTGGAAAAGACTGCATGGAATAAGGCTCGGAGTCGGTGGACGGAGGATAGTATGTGAGTTCATTTTCCGTTTTAGAGGCTGGGGCAAAGTATATAGATTATGCATGTTTGGGCTTTATTTTTTTTATTTTTTTTTACGTTTTACGTTTCCTTTCTTCTTTTCCTTTTGAGGGGAAGGTACCCAGATATATTATAATATTCATTGTGTTTTGTCCACGCATTGTACTCATAGATCCATCCATTCTCGTGAGAGGTGAGTTGGTTTGAGGCTGGTGATACTGATGAATGAAATAACATCCGAGTTCTATGTTATCATTGTTGATTCTATGATAATACAAGATTGCTTTTGTTGGATCCACCTTATACCCCGCGAACCCTTTTATCATTCTCTTCCTTCTTCCGCTGTTCCCATTTACCTTTGTCAAGGGAGCGAAAGGTCTGAGTAACATATTGTCCTGCCCGACAATGGGTACAAATACACTAGGGCTATTCTTGCTTTATCCATTTCTTCTTCTTATCGCCACTTGATCCTTCAAGCTCAGTCACATTCTCTTCACCAACCAAGCTCAAGTTCAAGTTCAAGTACAAGGAAGGGTCTTACCGTGCCACTATCCATCACAACGTGGACAATATGAGGATATAAACCCCCCGTCTCTTATGTTCATATATACTCCCTTTGCACCGGGTACCTCCCGCTGGCATCGACTACTCCTCCACCCATCCAGCTTTTCTCTTCCTAACCGCCTGTGCCCGAAATTTTTCCTCCAGGAATTTCCCTGATGCCTTCGATATATCAAAGCCCGTTCACTCCCTTTCAAGGAAGCCAAATGCGATATGGCATTGAAAGGGGCCTCTTTCCAATCCGCTGGACATCCGGCCCACGGGAAGCGGAGCGGCAAATTTGCTCTTTCTACGACACCTTGTTGTGAAAGTCAAGGGGTTAATTTTTCCTTGGGCTTATTGCGAAGGGCAGTGGAACTTACCAGACCTACCTGCATACGGGGATGCAAAGGGACTGTCACTTGATATTGGGCTTCGGGGGGTTTGACACGGCTGAGAGCGTGTAGCAGTATTCTCCCTTCTCCTAAAAGGTCATTCGCGAAGGGCAAAGGGAAGTACCTGCGCATCTACTTCTTGAATTGTGAAGGGAAATGGATAACTTCCATGGCTGTGAATCAGTGACCTCACAAGCTTTAACCAGCTAGGTGTCAGCTATAAAAGCTGCGTTCTTTCCTGAGTCCTTGATTTTCTTTTCTTTCCCATCAAACTTTTCGCCGTCCATACTCATTTGCCTTCCTCTACACTACCACTACCACACCACGACTCTCGAAGCAAGCCTGCAGATATCTTCATGAAAACTTCTCAAGCAACCAAAATCTACCTCGCCCACTACACTTAATAGCTGTCGACCCGACCCGTCTCCAAATACGCGCTATCAACCCATCCGACTCAAACCACCCGTGGTATCCATAAAATACCCCGAACCGTTAAAGCCCATTTAAGTCTCCCCCCGACCCTATCCAAGATCCCCCGCTCCATCCAAAATCCACCTCGACTACCCCCCGAAGTTGCATTCGTACCACAGACACACGACCGCCATGTGCCTCGTTGAAACAGTCTACGGCGGCTGCGGCCATAAAATCGGCGGAGAAATTGAGCCCTGCTCAAAGGCAGTGTACCCAAACCCATGCGATAACGCGACCACGGGAGAAAAGAGATTGGAAATCATGTGTTCCGGATGCCGCAGGTATTATGGCTGCGATGTAAAACCGAAACCGAAGAGCGCGGAGGCTCATAGTGAACCTAAGGAAGGCGAGAGTAAGGAGAGCAAGTGAGTAGCTAGGCTCTAACTTTTGGAGAAGATCTTCATGCAATACAGATTGTGTTATTATGCGTGAAGTCTACTAGGAGAAGGGCCGGTGGGGTAAATTGATAACAAACAATTGGTTTGATGTGATATAGTTTTGCATTGATGGTATGCTCTGCTTTGCGTTGTTGAACCTTATTTAGCCCAGGGTTCCCTTGATATGCTGTGAAGTCTGGCTTTACCATGGTACTGTTATGTGGTCTACATCTATCTATCCTTGAAACCTAATTATTTTATTTTATTTTATTTTTTTGGTTTAAGCAAGGACTGAGAGAATAAAATTGGCATGAAAACCTTGCTTAACTCGTTCAATTTGCCCAATTAGCATAAACTGCCCCGCTGCCATCTTGCGAACGATGAAGTAACAGTATTTCCACGCCAGCCACATGTGTGTGCAGCCCCTTTTAAATAGACAAGTACCTCCTGTAGAATGCCCATGTATGTACGCAGAAGTTGATGATAAGAAGCTTGGAAAGGCTGATGATCAGGTTTCTCCGGATAATTTTGATGTGGATTGAACTAGTTAACTAAACCTTAACTACCCCCTTTTTCTTTCCCTTGTATTTTTGATCCTCAACCACCAAGAGATCCATGAATGCCCTTTCCGCGCGATAAACCGGCGATACCGTTCGAGTGATTTCTACCACAGTTCCATGATTGATTGATTGATTGGTTGGTTGGTTGGTTGGTTGGTTACAATTAAAAGTCCTATTGGCGTTCTTCAACCAATTTTTAAAACAATAACCCAGACACGTATGTAGCAGCTGCAGTTTTGCCCCTTCCCGGAGATTATGTATTATATCATGCCGAATGAAAAGAAAAGAAAAGAAAAGAAAGAAAAAGTGGGGGAAAAAGGAGAAAAATTGAAGAAGAAGGGGAGGGGGTCATACACACATGAGAGACAACAAATCCAAACTGACAAAATCAAAATCTATTAAATTAATCAAAAAGTAAAACAATAACAATAAACAAGAAGGGGGGGGGGGGGGGATTTCAAATAAATAACCCTATGGAGATCAATGAACATTTCATCTTCAATCAATACACATAAAGATGGTTATGTGCTGCATAGCCATAAGAAACATAAAAACATCATCACATATAAAAACAAAAAAGGGCTTAGAGGAATTTGGTGGGAAGATGAAGGAAATGATTTCAAAAATGTCGAAACACAACCACACAAACAAGCATACATACATGCATACATACATACATACATACATCAAAAGATAAAAAGGCCATCATTAATTTAAATATTCCAACAAGGAAATCCCAGGTCATTAGAGACACATCATCAGGGATAAAAACATAAAAAAAAAGCCTAGATATAAAACAGGAGGTCCAACCGTTTCAAAAGCAAAAAGGGAAATCTTAAAATACTCATCTCCAGAACCTCAACTTCCCAGCTGTCCTCTTCACCGTCCAGCCAGCCTCACTCGCCCAATCACTGACCGCCTCTCCAACACTCCTCCCGGGAGATGTCCTCCCAACAGAGCTTCCAGTTCCACTGGACCCAGTCCCCATAGTCCCACCACTACCCACACCCCCTAAAAACCCACCATACCCATAACCCGTACCCCCCGCCGCATCAAACTTCATCTTCCCCTCCATGACCTGATGAACAAGATTCAGCATTGCAAACGCCCCGGACCCCAACGCTCGAAATAGCGCTAGCCCAGCCACGCTCCACAGCACAAAGGCCAGGTACCCGTTACTGCCCGCAGATTTCTCAGTGAAGGACTCTGATACAGCCATGGCGAGAATCGCGTTTGCGATAACCCAGACTGACACCATGTACGTGCGCACCGCGCGGTAGTAGTCTTCCTGCATCTGAGCCTCCGATGGCTCTGGCAATGGTACCTCGAGCCTATCGCGCAGATTGCGTAGCGCCTCGTCGTAGCCGCTATCGATATCTAACTGTTCTGACGGCATTTCAAGCTCTACAGTGGAGGAGCCGGTGATACGCGCTGCGCCGAGGTCGGTGTGGATGCTGTTGTCGCCCTTGGTACCCCATGTGACGTCATGGGTGTTGCAGAAGGCGTAGACCTGTAAGGTGCAGATGTAACTTGGCAGCAAGGCGAAGTACTGCGCGGACGAGGTGAACATGTGCCAGGGATCTAGGTAGAGGAAAGACATGAAAAAATATAAGCCGACGGTTGAGAGGGTGGAGACGATGATGTTGGTGAAGGTGTTGTTGCCCAATTTCAGGCGCTCTTCCATCGGTTTCTTGCTGAGCTTTAACTGTGTGACCACCATGTATAAGGCGGAAAAGACTGTGTATATCATTATTATACAGTAGACGACCATGCCGGACATGAACATCTTCTTGGCTCTAAATGTAAGGTTGTTTGTTAGCTACGCGACTAATAATGCAGTGCATCGAACGGGGTGGAATAAGCCACATACCCTTGAGGCCGATTGCCCATTGACAAAATGAATTGCAGGCAAATAAGTAGTACGCAGGCATATCGTAATATTACAAATATATATTTCCCGATATTATGCCCGAATGGGTCATTGGTAGGGTCCGACAAGGCACCGCCAATGAAGTAGAAAGTGAGATAGAAATTCGCCTACATGTATGTCGAAGGACGTCAATGTCTGTTTGGTTCACTCGGAAGTAAGTATCCGGGACATGTGATGATCACTTACCAAAGAAAAGAAAGTAAAGACCAAAGAAACAAACTGATACAGAAATTCGATGTGCAATAGAACCTTCCTCGCAATGGTATGGTCCGTCCGCCAAATCTGGCGGAAATGTATGAGCGAATACACGGCCGCAAAAAAAGCGCCATTGAGCCATCGTCGCCGTTGAGAGATGAACTCAGGCACGGAATCTACATGAGAAAATATGAGTAAAAAATGTGCCCAAAATAGAAGGAAATGGTGTCAACTGTCAATAAAGTAAAAAGAAGAAGAAGAAGAAAACAAAACATACCCGGAACGTCGGTCTCCCCAACCGCACTCTTCACGAACTTCAAAACCCATCTTTCCTCTCGCTTAGCCACCAACTCCCAACACAAAATCCGATCTTCGGCAAGGTACATGTTGGCAGTAAACACATCTGCGTTCTTGCCATGAAGCATCTCTCCCTTGAAATACTGGCTCAATGGCCCGTGCCCCGTACTGTCGTTTTGCAAAGCATGGTATCGATACGCGCTCAAAGCGCCTGGGAGCACAGTAATATATCCAAAAACAGACTCGAGCGGTTTATCCAGGATATTCGACATTTTATACTCGAAATTCTGAGAAGCGACGAGCGGGTTAAACAAACCCAGCCACCCTTTGCCCTTGCCAGCTTTAATCTCCCCGGCAGCTCCCGCGACATTTGAGTCTTGATCGAACGCTTTCCAGAGATGGTAAAGAGCGGTGGGCGCCGGCTTAGTCCCGACATCAAGAAGGATGCAGACATTGGGAGTCAAGGCGCGCCCGAAAGCGTTGAAGAACCATCGATGCGAATTGAGTTTCTTCTCATTGCGCTCCTTCAGACAGAAAATGATCTGACACGGCATTATCCCCTTCTCTGCACCTTTAAATTTAAGATCCGGGTCCAGAGATACTTGAGTGGTGTATTCATACACATGGGCATTGACCGGTTTCTGATTCACGATATTTTTGGCTATCCCATCCTGGTAGACGCCCATGGCCGCAAGAGCATTCAATGTGCGCGGATGTACCTTTTGTCTGCCATCAGCAATGATGCAGACCACAATTTTCTGCCAACCGTCTTTCCCCCAGGTTCGAGATTTAGTCCGAGAACAAAAGTGGGTGATGTTTCGCATGATACCATGCATGGTACGCGTGAAATGAATCTCATTTTCATTGTACATCGTCACGCATACGAACAACTCCGTTTCACGCATTGTGCTCCCAATGTTTTGTCGTAACTTATACCCCCGAACAGTGAAATCATCCGGATCGCAGGTGACGGCCGTATATCTCATATGGGTGAATTCGCGGTCGTCTCGGCGGGGAAGAAAGCTGTGTAATATTGTGGGGATTTTGCATTCCAAAATAAGTTCTCCGTTGATAAGCCTAACTTCCTTCTTCGTCATCTGCGCCTTGCGAACCCCTCTACGCTCCTGACGCCCAGCTGGCGCTGGGCCATAATGCACATTCAACTTTGCCTCCTCGTCCTCGTCACCGTCCAAGTCAGCTTTACTCATCATGTCTTTTTCATCGGTAACAACTGTAGAGTCTGTGAGATACGTTTCAAACGACTGAACACTTGAACGGGCGTCATTTATTCGCGTTCTCCGTCCCCCAACAAAAGGGTCATCCCCATCATCGTCATCCCCTCCATCGGCAATATCAATACTCGTTTCGCCAGCAGAGGACGCCGGTGGACCAGTGAACAACGGGGCTGGGGGTAGTGGCCGCCTCGGGCTCCCACCATACCTGGAACTGGGAGTGCCAGGTCTAGGACTGCCGTTAATTTCTGCAGGTTCGTAATTCACGCTGGATACAGACGGGGGAGCACGTGCCCGTGAGCGTTCCGGGCCCTTCGAAGGAGTCCAGGGACGTGTTGGTGAACTTGATCGAGCGGGGAGATGGGGGCCGTCTACGACAGAATCAGATGGTAGCATACTGGGCGCTTGGCCAAGACTAGATGACGGGTGGGAGAGAGGGATAGAGGAAGCTGAGGCGGACTGTTGATGAAGTGGATGATATCGATGTGGCGAGGGCGGAGCCATGGAAATAGGGCTTCTAATGTGCACATTGTCAGTTAAAGCATCCGATTTAGATTGTTCACGGCTAGAAAAGTCCTGGGTCTCTAGTTGATTCTCCAGAGGTGAGAGTGTAATTGACTTGGTAAAGCCATCCTGGCGTTTCGGTAACATATGGGCTGCGGGCTTAGGAGAGCTAAGACGGAGAGGCTTAGGAACTATATCCCAAGACCGTGGTTTTCCGCAACGTGGAGAGCTTATCCATCCTGGAGTGCTTTGAGTGGGAGAACTTTCCTCCTCGATAGTCATGTCCTTCCAGGTGACGCGCAATTGTTTCTTGCTTTTTGGGGGAATTGTTGGAAGATCTAAGGCTTCACCAGCAGAAGCCATTGGGGCATCACGGAACGTAGGGGTTGGGCCTGGTGGAACGGCGCAATCATCCTGGTCTGGTTGAACAGTATCTTCCGGCTTTTTTGCCATTGCGGAGTGTCCCTTCACCGGGGTAGAAATTGGGGGACGAGTATTGAAAAAAGGAGAATTATTTCCCTGATCTACGTACTGTTGACGTGAAGGTGTGTTCTGGGACCTTCTGAATCTGCCCTCACTTCCTAAATCGGATGCATCATCCCCGCTCGCCAAAATTCCCCCGCCAGGCGGTAAAAGTCTCACGGACGAGGGATTGCTGCGCACAAGCGTAGGTGCCGAAGCTGGCACATCCTCATCGCTAGCATCGAGGATGGATGACTCGTCGGGTAACGCATACGATGGGGGGTTTTCATCGTATGTTGGTGGTGCGGCGCGGCTGTGGTGGTAGACGAACGAATCCATTGCTCCCCCTCAATATTTGCGCGCAGTGCTGGCCGGAATTTTCTGGCTGGGTTTTCGGGTTAAATTGGGGAGTAAAACCTTCGTCGCAAGACACGGGAGCATTCGTATTTAGTCAGGTAAAACGCTATGTTATGACGCTCATATATATTCTATACAGTCAGGTGCGATCTGTCGAGATAGGGTTATGTTAGCTATCGAGCTTAACTTTGAAATCGGTGCAACTATAGACTCGTCGCAAACGGATTCAACTGGGCTAATTTGAGCATCAAAAAGTCAGAAACAAGGAGGCAAAGAGATACCAGAAAGTAATCGCGATTAATCTGAATATCGCATTAGACAATGGCGGGGTGTAAACAGATCCGTGCTTGTGAAGTTTACCGTTAGAGAGTCAGAAACGTCACTCGAAAGCATCAATGAGGCAGTGATTCGCAATCTCAACAGAATGTCCCGGGCCTTTAACTAACGATACGAAAGCCCTATTGAAGAGTGACCGCGTGTATATGGAAGAGATAGGCGGGCGGAGAGTGGTACAGGGAGGACAGTGGAACCGAGAGGAGGCCCGTACATGATGCATATCACGTGATTTTGTTTATAAACTCGCCATTGCTGTGGCAACCGTGGGTTACATACAACGGATAATCTTGGCGCGGGGGTTGTCTTCTCGGAAATCCAACAACAAAAAATGCTACTCACTTAAAAAAGGCAAGATATTATCACACAATTGATCCTCATGATGAAGAATATTAAAATATATTATTTCATAACTACATAATTATATTGGAAGCTGACCCATGAATATAGAAGGCCTGGTAATTCCTCTGATTGTCGAGCGCGATCAGAGCTCTATCTAGCAAGCGACTATTCTATCTACAAGTGTGAGGGGTGATAATAGTGTGAAGAGTGAATAGTAGAGGATAGTAGAAAGGAGTAGATAGTAGTAGATAGTAGCGTAGTGGTTAGTAGCTAATCGCTAGCGAGGGAAAGAGAAGGGAAAGAAGATGTGCGAAATACATGCGTATAGATATATATATACATAGAAATAGTGGTAGCGAGAACATAGTAAGAAAAGGAAAGAATAAACAAAGATAAAATGATGATATATAACGATATAATAAACGACCATAAGCAAGTGCATTACAACAAGATAATTCTATTGCAAATGAATATTACTATCAAGAGCAAGTCAATTATATATCACACTTCCCGAAGAAGTTTATTCCATCATGAACACAATGGTGACAATTTGGATCTTGAGCGCTACAGTCAACATGTCTATAGCAACCCAGTCGACTGCAATCATCTAGACGAGGTGCGAGTACATTTGGTGATACCGCCGAAGCACCGAGTGACAGAAAATTTTTCAAGGGCTCAGGAGACCAGATCTCTGCCTCGTCAATCATGGAGCTATCAGCATTTTCCCACAGTGCAATTAGATTCTCCTCATCCTTGGAGTAACGTTTAGCAAGTGATTTTAGCTCAGCAGAATCAAGTCTCGCATAATCAATAACTTTATTGTCTTTATCATAAGATCTCAAAATCCCGTCATTGCCGATGTGGAATAGTCCATTGGGATCAGTTCGAAGATTATTCACAAGCTGCTGCAAATCGCGTGCCGCAGGTTGACGTTCTTAAAAGATTTAAAAGTCAGGAATTAGTACCATTAATCAGTAGAAGCGAAGAAATATTACCCAGCGACGGTTCTAGAGCTGTCACAGAAAGAATGACATTTATGCAAGCACTAGCGATCAGGAAGGCAAAGCACTGCATGATTGTATAGCAGTAAGTTCTGATTAAAGTTGAATTAATTTCGTGTGGGGTTAATATATAGTTATATAAAAAGAACTGCAGGGCGTAAACTGCAGGGCGTATTTTGAGTCCAGCCTGGCTATTTCAAAGTTAGAACTTGATAGAGATAAACCCCCTTGATTGTAAATATATCTTTCTAACCTGTACTTAATCATATGTTAATCATGATCAGTTATTAGAAGAATATCTAGTTATAGGTATTACGTTATATGATCAGCAAACCACTGTAGTGGGTCTGGAAGTCTGGAACCAATACCTTGGAAGCGCTTTCTAATATCTGTTCTAATCACTAAGGAGAAGTGGACGTTTTGCCCGTTCCTGAGGCGGTTGGAATAGTTAAAAATTAAACGTGGTTGAGTAAACTAATGTCCATCAGTTAATAAATTGTTAGTACTCCAAGAGCATGCACATTGAAAAGCTAGACTTTACATAGATAGAGAGAGCATCTGGCTGGAGGATCCAACTTGATAATACTCCGTTATTATTGTTGGTAACTACGGAGTAACGTAATCAACCACCTAACGCTCGTTTCCACCCAACGCTCGCCTTTGTAAATCAATTACAGTCAACTTCAAATGTTAATATCTCAATGAATATTCATTATTTTTAATTTTTAATTTGTAATTTATAAATATCAAGATTTATATTATAATATAGTTAAAATTAATTAAAATATAGATTCAATTATAAAATAAAATACAGTGAAATAAAATATATAATATTTGATTATAAATTAAGAAATATATGTTATATATTATTAAAAATTATAATTCTTATATAAATATATTACAACTTAATAAATATTAAATTATTTTATATAAAAATTCTATATTTTAATTTTTAAGAATTTTTTTATTTTTTTATTATAATTTTTTTTTATAAATTACAAGTAAACTATTGAAAATTCTTGAAATTTTAAATTTTAAAAAATAATTTATTAAATATAATATATTTAAATAATTTAATATAATAATTTATTTAAATTACATTTTTAAAGTATAAATAATACACAGTTATGACAAAAATAATATTTTAAAATATACATTATTATATAAAATTCTAAATGAATAAATATTAAATAAGAATTTTTAAATAAAAAGTTATATTCTATTAAAAATATTTAAAATCTATAAAATATTTAATTTTAATATAGAAATAATCAATATTTATAAAATATATTTATAAATATAGATTGTGTATTTTATTTTAAAATAGTATTTTAAAAAGTTTAATAAATTAATAATTCTATATTTTTTTCTTATAAAAATAAATATAATATAATATATATCTATAAATTATTGTTCTCTTTTTTAGAATAGTTTTGAATGAATATTCATTGAGATATTAGCATTTGAAGTTGATTGGGAGTAATTAATTTACAAAGGCGAGCGTTGGGTGGAAACGAGCGTTACGTGTGAGCTAACTAGCCACGTCGAGTGAGTTTGTCAGGTGGCAGTGGCTGAATATTTCTGAGTAATAATATTAACCCGGAATTGAATCCAGGCCCAATAGGGAACTTTGCTAGTAGATTTACGGATACATGGGAATAGGAATCGGAATAGGGATAGAAATATCTTAAACACTGAAGAAAATTCTGACACTTTGTATTGGCAATTGTACATGTATCTTCGTTATCATATCAGCGTGACACCATGTTAGTCATATGTGAGACTGGGCATATAATTAATGCCGATTTTAGGTAGCGAGTTAGTTATAACTAGCACACCACTGGCCACATGACTCATTTGTTGGCCCAATTTCAATATCAAGCATATGGTCTCTAAGGAATGCTTAGTAGTAATGAAATATCTTAAAAAAAGAAAAATGATTTCAACGAAAACCATCAACCCAATCCAGACAATATGTCTACTCAAGAGGTTGAAATCTTTCCTGTAATAATTCATTTTTTCCCTTATTATCCCAGTTCGATTGACGAATCAAACTGCGCATGAGATCTCTTCTAGTAGGGGGGGGGGGTTTGGAAGATGAATCCGGGTTACATGGTTTGCTTCGTTCAAGCATCAATCGGGGTCCTTGGATCTTAGGAATACTATTCCTTCTCTCTTCGCGTCTAACAGCTCCAGGCTTTGATTCGAATACAATTAATTACCTACCGGCGGATAATCACCTTAATTCCGCGCCAGTTGTTGTTCCAGCCTTCACAGGAAAGAGATGGCTGTTTTATTTATATGTATTTTGTGTAAGTTTGGTGCATACACAGTACACAGCTTTACATACAAAATGCCTGGTTATTCAATGTAGATCTCAAAGTCTGTCAGTGGTCATTCCCACCATCTATTCAGATCTTCAAGATATCAACTAAATCATACAAGATGCCACTCTTCTGTCGAGATTATATTCTGTACAGGAATCCACTGAAACTACTCCGTACTGTACCACCTCCATGTCTAGTTCTATAACAGTGGAAATATACAACCATAAGAAGAAGCAGATGAATGAAAGAACCACATTGTTAGATGATCCTCAAGTGAAGCAAGATTCTCTTCTTGGGTAAGTCAAAGGAGTCTCCAGCCATTTTTAACGCTTGTCTCCTCATAGGTTATGCACTAAGTTAAACTCACTAAAAATTAGACAATTCTTGGCCAGGGTAAGAGCCATTCTTCATTGAGCCAACAAGAACGCGGGATGATGGTCAACGGTGTGGCTCAGCGAAGATTGGGGAAGACTTGGGGTTGTGGGGTTGTGCAGTGCGTTGGTGGAACCATCCCGTTACGCCATCGACGGTGCATTCTGGCGGTGATTGGATGGCAGATGGGAGGGAGCTTGGTGGTTGGCACTGGTTGGACAGGGTGGAGAGGGCGAACGCGAGCTGACGGTTGGGTTGTGGAGGACCAAGGCGGGCTAGCTGGCATGGTGCAGATATGGGCTTACTCCTCGTCCTCCTCGTTGTCGCACGCGGTAGGTACAGGTACAGGTACAGGTACAGGTACAGGTACATCCATATACATGCATACACATCTCCGGTGCATGTGCTGTACATAGTACCCGTGGACTGTACATGGTTGAGAGGAGAACGAAAAGGTACCACTACCCACTGTGATACTCATGGGGTGGTGATGTACTCCTTCCTAGTATTTTTAGGGTGGGTTACCCTTTTTTGGGAGGGAAGCGTCTCCTGTATCGTCCATCTCCTCTCCTCGCCTTTTCCCCTCTCCGCTCCTCTTCTCAATCTCCTCCTCATATACTCCGTACTTGTCTTCTCTTCTGTCCGTCCCTCTCCCTCCATCCTGCCTCTGGCTGTGCCTCTGTATGGTTGTCTGAGCTGGTTAGCTATCGTCTGCTCGAGAGTGTACTTCTATACATATCTGTACACAACCATTTTATCCTCTTGCGTCATCCCGACCTCCAGTAGCTTGCCACCACCTCCAACAAAACGGCAGCCCTCGTATTCCCCTCTCTGCCTCGCAACAGCATTGCCATTTCGTTTTGCCTTTCTAAGAACTATAGTTTATTTGGATTTCAATTATTTATTTTCGACGTGAGAGCAACCCCTGAGAACTGAAAATCTCCCCAAAAATCCAACCATTCATTAAGAGAACGAAAGATGTCTGGGCCAGGACACCAATGTACGTTCATAGTCTCGAACATAAACTGAGGCCCCCTTGTCTACCCAATACACACAGCCATTCTAGTTCATGCTCATCACCAAAATATTAGATAATCCATTTTCGAAGCGGGAGACGTATAGCAAGAATGCCATTACTGCATATCGAGTCCTGACTCCCATCTCTTGGCTGTTGGTGGTTGTTTTTGGAATTTTCTACTCCATCCACAGGCCAGACGATGTACCCAACGGCTTCACTGTGTGGGAGCAGACACACCGAAACCCTACTCCGTTCTCACAGAGCAGTGTCGTGACAGGTGTTTTTTGGTGAGTTTTCGTCCATGTAAACAATCAAAATCTCACAGCGCAGTTCCTCCTGGCATAGACACATCGAATATTCAGTAGCTTATATCTTCGCAGGATCATCTTACTTATTTCCCAGCTTGGATACATCGCCAACTTGTTCTCTTCAAATCCCGCAAAAGTAACAAGCGCGGCAAATGTTGCCGGCTTTTATATCCTCAACAATCTCTTTGTTCTTGCCTTCGTCCTTCTCTGGGTCCGATCCAAGTTCTGGGGCGCAGAGATCATTGATATTGCAAATTTGATCAGTCAAGGCATTGTGTACTGGAAACATCATGATCTGCCTCTTGACATTCATCTTCCCGCAGTGGCTGGTCCGTATGCGTGGACTCTGTCAACGCTCTTCTGGAACGGAGCTGTTGCAGTCGGAGGAGACAATACCCCCAAGAGGATCGTTGCTAATGTGTTCATCTGGGTCATGTTTGTTTTTGGCCAGGGCCACATCGCGCGTAGGGGTGATTTTGCCTATGGATACTCCTTGAGCTTGTTGACGCTATGTAAGTTTTTTGTCTTCGCTGACTTTACATCTGCAATAATGCGCTGATCACAAATTACACCTACAGCCCTGGCTCTCAAGCAGTTCTCCCTCAAAATCATTTCACTTCAGTGGATCTTCGCGTTTGTGATCTTCGGTGTTTTCTTCATCACCTCACTCTCTGCCTCTGTGGCCAAATACCACAATAGAGACTTCTTCTTCCGCAGCTTTGCTGAGCCAGTTGACTCTACTGATCGCGAACGCCAGCCACTTCTCAGCGAGTGAGGATGTAGGCATGGCCACCCCGCTGAAGACCAGAGCGAACTGGGTTTTCGGTAGTTCGACGAACCTGGTGGCATCGACATGCTTTGACGTTTTCCTGTTGGCTTCCTTTTATGCCCGTTTAACCCCCAGAACTACAATGCGACTCGAATGGTCCTGATTTATAAATAACTTCTCAAAACCCATTTTTCAAAACGAAGGAGCATTTGCCTCCCTACAAATCCCCCTAACCCTTTTTATTCTTACCAGACGAACGGTTTTGGTGATGATGAAGGCGTGAAAGAGTCGGCTTGACATCAGCTGAATAAAATAAATACCCTGAACGATGGGGGAAAAGCTGAAAATCGACTTTCGTGGAAAAAGGAATGTTGGTAAACTCAACACACGGCTGAAATTTGCAACGTTGTTTCGAAAGGGACGATAAGGTCAAAAAATTTCTTTCCCTCAGATTGGAAATTTACCCGACTATGCCTCAATTTGAACGTATTAGTGGGACTGTGAAAAGGGACGTGTTTTTTAAGGGTGGGAAAGAGAGGGCTCACTAAATCGTTGCTGCTCTTCCCGCTCTCGGCTCCCTTTCTTTTATATTTTTATTTTGATCAATATTTCCTTATTTCAAATCATTCATTGCTGCTTCTGCCGCTATTATATTAGTTAGTTTTGCATCCTTTGTTAAATGTTAGTACATATCACCTACTCAAACAAGGCCATCTTCACACTTCTTCCTTCCTTTTGTTGCTAATTGGAAATGCATGCCTCAAGTCAATCTTATTCCCCCTTCTGTTTTTGGTTTTTTTTTTTTTTTTTTTTTTTTTTTTTTTTTTTTTTTTTTTTTTTGGAATTTCGCAACACCATCATCATCATCATCATCATTATCATTCCGTTTCCGAAGGATATCGAACAGTTATCTTAAAAATTGCGTTCAAATAACTAATTTGATAAACATAACTCCTAGTGAACTTTTATTTTATCCCCTTGAAAAAAATGAAAAACACCCTGCGCACAAAAAG